AGCGGATTTCGCCCTCCGCCCGAGGATGTGCGCGAGTGGCGCGAAGCCGCTCGCCGAGCCACGATGGCTCGTTGGTCGTTCCGGCTGGAGACTCCACGCGCTGGCTTCGCCGCCGTGGAGGCTCTCCAGCCGGTCATCGCCGAGTGGGCAGGGCGGCAGCACGGGACCCTTTCCTTCCGACTGACGCAGGTGCTTTCCGGGCACGGTTGCTTCGGAAAGTACCTGCACACGGTCGCTAGGAGGGAACTGAGTCCCGCCTGCCACCACTGCGACTGCAGTGAGGACTCGGCCCAGCACACGCTGGCGGTCTGCCCCGCATGGGCGGCGCAGCGCCGGGCCCTCTGCAGTCATCGGAGTGGATCTCTCGCTACCGGCCGTAGTACGCTCCATGGCCGGTAGCGACAGTTGTTTTACCGCGGTCGCAACCTTCTGCGAGGTAGTAATCTCGCGGAAGGAGGCGGCGGAGAGGGCCCGGGAGGACGACCTCCACTCGGACCCGATCCGCCGCCGGCGAACCGGGCGGCGGAGGCCCGCCTACCACAGCCTCATGCCGCGGGTGGACGGGGTGGGTTTCCCCTCCACCCGCATTAGTTGGCCAGCCGCGAGGGGGCGGCGTCCGCGTGTGCCGGACGTCGCCTAAAGAGAGGAACATCAACATCGAGACGGAGCCCGCACCAGGAGCGGGCTGGCGCTAGGAGGGGTCCGGATGTTTTAACAACAGCTGTTCCCGGATCCCTCCTGTTACAGGCGCAGAGTGGCACACCGTGTGGTTTTAGTCGGTCCGAGTCCGACACACCACCCCGCCGCAAACCCCGGAGGGGTGACGGTCCGAGGGGATTACCACACGTTAAAAAAAAAAAAAAAAAAAAGGGTTTGTGTCAAGTTTTCCTTCTTTTTGCAGTGCTGGTGCGCTGCCTTGTTTTGCGCCCTTAGTCGGCTCTTACGACACCCACGGGATGAATAGGGGTGGTGACATTCCGTATTCTTAATCCATTACGTTAGTGGGGCTAAAATTTTAGTCGGCAAAATTTGGGCATATCTAGCCTCTCTCAATACTCCTTCTGGCGCAGTCGGTTAAAAAAATGAAACAACAAGACATCGCACAATAGGTTTGATTCAAACCCAGGACAAATAATTGTCTATAGAAGAGACTTAGTCTGGCTACTATGTACAGTTGCGAACAGAAGTCGCTTTACAAATTGTCATCACCCCAAAACTAAAAATCTAATACTTATCATCATCCCTAAAACGCCAAATGGCGTTACTACATTTAGTCCATTGTATGGTCCGTGGATGCGCTGCCCACTCGACGAGGACCGGCTGAGCGTCTTCACGATGGCAAAACCAGCACTTGGAAGCCCTAGCTGGGATGTCCTACGATCCATCGTGATCTACAGGAAAGCTACATATTCATCAAGGAACATAGGCTACTTTTTACCGCGAGAACCCACGTATACGCGGGCGGAGCCGCTAGCATAAACTTGTACATAATATTTATATGTCTACGCATTTAATACCACTAAAAACCCATATTATTCTTTGGACTCCTGTCCATCCAACAGGTGTTAGGTAGACTTCGTTTCTTGGCGATAAGGCTGCCCTTTGTGGCTTTGTGCATATTATGTATGTTTTATATTTATTCAATAAATGTTTTCTTTTCATAATAGGGTGCCCCAGTCTATAAGGACATTTTTTTACGATTTTAAGTATGCATACCCTATATATTTTTTCTAATTGACCCTAATAAAAAATATTATTGGTATCAGATAAAGATAAAACGTGCCGATTTGAAGGCAAACTTTTATGAAAATGCTTGTATGAAGACTGTTCAGGACATTTCGTAAAATAATTTTTAATTAGTAAATAAACATATCATACATCATTTATTTATTTAATATTTATATCATACATTTAGTTAATGTTTATTATTAAAAGAACGAAATTTATTGAACTTTTACAGTCCGTACGTTACTTATTAAACTTATAAAATGAAAACAACAGATTATATACTAGTATTATAAACTACAGTTATGTTTCTTTGTAATAATTTCTTGAAGTTATTGAGAAATTCTCATTACTCCTATTTATAGACGATATCCGAAACATGTAAACCTTTTCAAAACAATAAATTAAATAATTAAAATCCCACCAATATCATGGATGATAATAAAAAAAAAAAAATTTGTAAGGGCGTTTGTGCAATTGTTTTGATAAAATTTACAAAATGGCACGCTTCAGCTGACAACTAAAAAAAAATACTACCTGGTTAGTTTGGGAACAAAGGCCCTTTCAATAGACCTGCCCCTCTGCGCCCCACGCTCTCCGTAGTTTACGGGGCAGACAAGTCGGTGACTTATCGTCGTACGAATTAGACGTGTGAAGTTTTCGGTCGTGTTTATATTTTAAATGACACGTGATTAATTTATATTAACGATATTGTGATGTGTTATACCTCAGGTAAGAATCAATATTCTGTATATAGAACGATGTTTTAAGTGATATTTTATTGATAATAAATAACGTTATTGTAATTGTTTGTTAAATTTTGTAAATATTATACAAACACAAGATTCGGGGTTGATTTAAATTTGGTTATAAATTACCAATACTTTGAGGATAAAAGTAACATGTGTAACAGCGTAAGAAGTCTATATAAAATGCCATGATTACCAATTCAAATATAATAACGCATGTTATTTATTCACTCCTTCATAACAGTATGCTAACTCGCGCAAGCGTTTGACACAAATTGATAGGATACAATTTTATACAACAAATCAATATCGGAAACTTAATATGTTTCGTATACGTATACTTATTATCATCACATCACATCAACAGCCTTTAATAGTCCACTGCTGGACATAGGCCTCTCCTTAGAATGGAGGTTAAGGCCTACTATACCACGCTGGCCAGTTTCTTCAGGTTCTCTTTGTAGTGCTATTGTCCTACGTAGTTTGCTCCCTTAGTCAGCTTTTACGACTCAAACGGGATCAATAGGGGTTGGTGACACTTCGTATTCTTCAAGGTCATCAAGTAGTCTTGAACTGCAAACTGAACCTCAATTTTGCTATGTTATGTTAACGTCAAGTCACTGTCATTCCATTAACACGCTATTGAGATGCCACTGACATCGGTCAAAATATCGGTATTCTACTAACATAAATTCACAGTGTCAATATACTGTCGAAATAGTAATATACATCATCAATGGTGATATCAACAACATTGCCATATCATGAAAATTAAATATATCATTTTCTTACAAATTTAAAATGTACCGTTTACCACACTTTTACAAATACATCGACGACATTAGTATCAGTGACAAGTCATCAGGAGTCCATTGATCTTACATAATTATGTACTAATTAGTAGAATAAGAAAAGTTCAAAACTATTCCGACGACATTCCATCGATAGTCAATTGATACAATATTAGAATAGCAGAATTCAGGCTCTGTTCGTATGTGTGGTAATGTTTCTTTGTCTAAAACAAAACCCTATCAAATTCATGTTTGTTCTGTGATGCAAGAACAATATCTAGACAATTAGATAACAAATTATAATGATATATAATTACGAACATTAGAATTATCACTTGGTTTGGTAAGTCTAGAAAGCTATATGCTTATTGTGTTTAAATTGATTATACATTTGTCCGTGTGGTGACGGATTAAGAATACAGAGTGTCACCACCCCTATTCATCCCGTGGGTGTCGTAAGAAGCGACTAAGGGACCAAATTAAGCAGGGCAACAGCACTGCTGAGAGAAGGAAAACTTGACACAAACCCTATACCAACCCGTCTGGCCAGCGTGGTATAATAGGCCAAAACCTCCTTTCTAAGGAGAGGCCTATGTCCAGCAGTGGACTAGTAAAGGCTCTTGATGATACATTTGCATTATAATAACGTAATTAGCCCAAGACATGGACTCTTACACCTTATAATAATAACTTCACATATCCCAAAACGGCAGTCTCATCCAAAACTAGGCAGATCCTGTACTATGGTAACTAGATTTTTAATAAACATACTTATATATTTCTAAATACATACATTTCCATCCGTACTAATATTATAAATACGAAACTGTGTCTGTCTGTCTGTTACCTTTCATGCTTAAACCGATGAACCAATTTCGACTGCACGGATGGCGTTGTGGTTTAGGTGGTCGCCACGCCGCATGCTACTACGGTGAGTGTTGTGGGTTCGATCCCAACATGGAACGACACCGTGTGATCCACAAATTGTTGTTCTGAGTCTGGGTGTTCTTTGTGTCCGTTTCATGTATGTTTGTAAAGTCTCCCGCGACACAGGATACATTCCTAATGCGGGATTTGTCTTTGAAAAAAAAGGAAGAAAAATTATGAAATTTGGTATAGAGATTGGTCTAGTCCCGGGATAGGATAGTTTTTATCCCAGAAATCATCTTTTAAGGGGGGAAAAGGGCGTTCGAAGTTTAAATGGGAAATCAATAACCGCTGAACCGATTAAAATGAAATTTGGTATGGAGATAGTCTGATTCTTGTGGAAGAGGCTACTTTATACCGCGATAACCGACATACACGCGAGTGGAGCTGCGTGCATAAGCTAGTTATAAATATATTACACCAAGTCACAGAACAAATGATCGTCACACAATATTTGTCCTGAGTGAGAATCGAACCACGAACTCTGGCCAACAGGCCCGTCAATCATAATTACGTAATCATCAACAGCCTTTAATAGTCCACTGCTGGACATAGGCCTCTCCTTAGAAAGGAGGTTTTGGCCTACTATACCACGCTGGCCAGACGGGTTGGTAGGGTTTGTGTAAAGTTTTCCTTCTCTCTGCAGTGCTGTTGTCCTGCGTAGTTTTTTCCCTTAGTCGGCTCTTACGACACCCACGGGATGAATAGGGGTGGTGACACTCTGTATTCTTAATCCGTCACCACACGGACAATTACGTAATAATATTAAGAAATAATAAATTTAAAACATTATTTCCTTTTATTACAGGAGCCCGCCCAATCGCATGGCGATGAAGGAACTCTTGGAGTCACTTATCTCAAATGATTATATGCCATTACACCGTACTCTCAAAGCTTCTGGACCAATACCACTGCCTACCTTCTTACTAGAAACTGCTGAAATAACAGCTGATAAGGTAAATATAAAATTAAGAATAGGGAATATGCATGTATTTTTTTTTTTTTAACACTCTTGACAGTGTAGGTTGACGTCACGTTTTATTCAACCAATAGCGTTGCGTTTTAGAAATTTGCGAGGGAATCTTAAAAAAGCCAATTTTTGATGATTAAATTTCACTATTAAATCATAATAAATTTCAAAAATAATTGTATGAGTATCTTTTTTAAGCAATAAAAATTACAAATAAAAATATTTTGACCATTTTGGTGTCACGTGCATATTTTCATCATTGCATTTATCACTATTAGCACATGCACTGGTCTGAGAAGCAGGTAAGTCTTTATCGGAGGGCCTGGTCACTGGTCACAGTAGGATAATGGGGGCCCCTACGACCTTGACTGATTAGTATTCCGTTAGAATAGCCAAAAAAGGTATTATAATCAAATCATTTTCGCTGTATTTTTCTAAATAAATATGGTTTTCGGTAATAAGTATCGATTATCAAATTAGGTAGGTAGGAATTAGGGGCCTCTATCTATTGAGGGGCCCTGGGCACGTGCCCAGAGTGCCCAGTGGGAAAGAGGGGCTTGCTGACAGGGGACAATGGGAATATTTGATTCCTTTTCCGGTAACAAGTTAAAGACTAAACAGGGTTAGTAGAATTAAAAATTCATGTCCACCGTCGATTTGATAATCTGATTTTAACCCCCGACGCAAAAACGACGGGGTGACATAAGTTTGAGGTGTTTGAAGTGTCTGTGTGTGTGTGTGTGTGTGTTTGTCTGTCTCTGGCATTGTAAGCTCCCGAACGGATGAACCGATTTTCGATGAAAAACTATATTAATTACATTTTATTGTCATTTTTTTTATTGTCAAACTGAATATTTAAAGTAAATTACTTGACAATAATTAGGCATGACGTTATAACTCATTTGACGTTATAACTTATTTGATACAAACGTCTTGTTTTGAATAAGTATTAAGTATACTTATTCAAAACAAGACATTTGATGTTCTATGCAGAAAAAAATATTTGTCTTGGCAGTTAACGTCTTACGTATTATAAGTGTGTCCAATTTGTATTTTCCAAAATGTGACTGTTTGATACATCTCTGCCCTCCCCGTTTAGATACAGTCATGAGTGTATGTGTGTATTTTGACGGGCCTGTTGGTCTAGTGGTTAGTGACCCCGACTGCTAAGTCGGAGGTCGTGGGTTCGATTCCCACCCAGGACAAATATTGTGTGATGAGCACGATCATTTCTTCTGTGTCTGGTTGTAATTTATCAATAATATGTATGGATTTAAAAATACATAAGTATGTTTATCAGCAGTCTGGTTACCATAGTACAGGCTCTGCCTAGTTTGGGATCAGACGGCCGTGTGTGAAATGTGTGAGGTATATTATTTAAAGCTTAATATTAATTTTCAGGCGGTTTGGAAGTGTCTAGTGAACAGGGGTGCGTACCAGCCTCTATACGACACAGATTACGAAGGTCTGACGGGACTGAGACCTGAAAAGTTGGAGAAGCGTCAGCACACACCTCAACAACATAAACCTAAGGTAAGTCCTTAAATGTATAGTCCATCAGCCATCCAATAATAACACAAGATATAGTATTTAAATAATATGATAACTTGACACATTTTGACTGCTCGGTGTCGCAGTGGTAGCTTATGCGACTGCTGTGCTGAGGTCTTGGGTTCGATTCCCGGGTCGAACCAAATGTTTGTATGATCTGGAAATATTTGTTTCGGATTTTGGGTGTTTTATATGTATTTATTTACAAAAAAAGTAAATAAGTATTGTATCAGTTAATCTAGCTTTTATAGTACAAGATTTGCTTAGTTTGAAACTAGATGGCGTTGTGTTGTTACATCTCACCCACGGCAGTCGGCAAACCAGACAAAGCCTGTACAGTAGTTGTTAATTTATATATTTTAAAATAGATACATTTTATAGACAAATTACACTGGGCCACAGATGATACCTACTCATCACACAATTATTTGTCCTGGATGGGAATCGAACCTCCAACCTCTGGCTTAGCAGTCAAGGTCACTTATCACAAGACGAACATGCCAGTCGAGGCAAGGACTAAATAATAAGTGTAGGTATACTCCGAAGGTCAAAAAAGTACGTACTCGTAAAAGTTTTGATTGCATTAGGTGTGTTGTCAAAACTTTTACCATTGCAACACACAGGTCAAAGGTCACAGGTTTTTTTTTCTTCCAATATTATAGAATGATCTTTTTAACAGCGTTACTGCTACGGAGGTCCTAAAACTATATTTTTGGTTATAGCAAGAAGAGAAAAAAGACAAACCAGAAGAGAAGAAGCCATCAGAAGAGCCGAAAGATCCAATTAGTACGATGGCCGAGGCTAAAGAACTCACGGCCGTAGCGCTGAAGGGTGCTCTCAGCGTACAGCATCAGCAGCGACTTCTGGCTCTTCTGGATCAGGACCCCAACCTGGTGTATGAGATCGGTGTTACACCTACACAGGTAATATGCTGCACCATTTAAAATTTATACCACGAGTTTTTCAAAGCAGAGCACGTTTAACACCTCCGGACTCGTCGCTTCGCTCCGCCATGCAGTCCCCGGAAGTCACAACACAAGTCCCGGTGATTACAGAGGCGTCGAGCTCGACTTCAAGCGACAGGTTTTTCTCCCCGTCAACGTCGCCAACACCTGTACGTCGGCAGGGGAGAGGTCGGCCACCGGTTTGCCTGGGATCCCGAGGCCCATCGGCTTCGAATAGGGCCCCCGCTATCGGTGGTAATGTGCGTCGCATGAAATGGACTTCTTCAATGAACGAGAACGTCATGCGAGCATATTTTAGAGTAGACCAATTGCTTTCTTTTTAGTTCTCATATTGCATAACAGAAATCAGTCTTAACTAAAGCATAAGTCACAGTGACCCTTATTGTCCTTCCTTTATTGATGATGAATTACAGGTAAATTAGCTTGGAGAATTTTTTGCGTTTGTAGTAGTGTATGGTATTCTGGTTTTGTGCGTGTTTCCACTTTCCACTATAAAGTGACGATTTTTTGCTTTAGATTGAAATATCTCGGAAACGGTGCGTTCTAGGCCAAAAATAACAAAAATTTTGACCCCCCCGTAGAGCTCCCGGAGTTTTAAAAACGTAGATGAAAGGAAAAAAAAAAATTTTAAATATCGGTCTCCTCTTTGAAGTTTCACTTCTATCGTGTGTGAATCGCACACACACCTTTTTTTTATAAAGTCAAAACCTTTTTCTTTAAAATAAAAACTTGTTTTGATTGAAAACAAAAATCAGAGTGTTGCTAGGGATAAGTATAAAATTAAATAGTAATGTTAGGATATCGAAACATTTTTGTATAGGCCAGAACGATATAGTGGAAACGCGCTCTAAGATCTGAGTAATATACACTACATATGCAAAAATTTCTCGAGACTAATTTCACTGTATTTGAGTTGCGGCGGTAGTCACTTACCATGGTGACCATGGTGACCCATCTGCTTGTTTGCCCCCATATGCCATAAAAAAAATGAATAGAATTTTAACACTTAGGTATACAGAAACCTCTCTTACGAATGTTTATCCAGCACGTCCAGTTGGCGATTTAATTATGAGCTTCTGGGACCTCCAATTTGATGGTAAACCAATTATTAGAAGCTGTTTAAAGTATATAAATATTCTATCACTCATTCTAGCTTTCATAGTACACGCACTGCACTGCACGGACGGCGTAGTGGTTTAAGCGGTCGCCACGCCGCTTCCTACTACGCCGAGTGTTGTGGGTTCAAACCCCACATGGGACGACACTTTGTCTGATCTACAAATTGTCGTTCTGAGTCTAAGTGTTCTTTGTGTCCGTTTCATGTATGTTTGTTATTTCCCCCGCGACACAGGAGACATTCCTAAAGCGGGAGTTGTCTTTTTTAAGAAGAAAATAGTACAAGCTCTGCTTAGTTTGAAACTAGATGGCGTTGTGTTTCAAATGTCCCAAATGATATTATTATATTGTTCATGTACACTAGGATACTACACAGAACAACAGCACTGCAAAGAGAAGGAAAATTTGAAACAAACACTACACCAACCCGTCTGGCCAGCGTGGTATAGTAGGCCCAAGCTTTCTTTCTAAGGAGAGGCCTATGTCCAGCAGTGGACTAGTATGGGCTGTTGATGTGATGATGTATATACTAGGACCGTGACCATTAATTGAACTTCATTATCATTAAGAACAAATATTGTAACTAATCTGTATATTCTATTTCCAGTTACCAGATCTGGTGGAGAACAACCCCATGGTGGCAATATCTGTGTTGCTGAAACTGATCCACTCGCAGCACATCACGGAGTACTTCAGCGTGCTGGTCAACATGGAGATGTCACTGCACTCCATGGAAGTAGTCAACAGGTACTGATCAACCAAACCACATTTACAAAGACACTTTTAGAAGAACGGTTTAGAAGATGAGATTGTGTCCGATGCCATAGTACATTGACAGTTAAATGACATGATGATTTATTGGTAGAAGTACCTTTTGATGTGAGGGTGAGACCCTCGTTGTCGTGGCGGCGCGTCGCCACGCTATGTGATAGTACATTAAATAACATGTCATGCAGTGTGGCGAATCGTCGCCATGCGCATGTGACTCTGCTACTAATTTTTGTATTCAATTAATAAAACTGTATATGTAATAAACGGCCTTTGAAGCGCGACACTCCCCCCCCCCCCCCCTCTCTCTCCTAGTCATAGAGAGGAGAGGTTAGAACTCAGGTATTCTCACACACTTGGTATATGCAATGAAATAATTATTTAATTTAATTATTTAAATTTAATTTATTTATTATTTTTATTTGACGGGTCTGTTAGTCTAGTGGTTACTGACCCTGACTGCTTAGCCGGAGGTCGTGGGTTTGATTCCCACCCTGGACAAATATTATGTGATGAGCACGGTCATTTGTTCTGTGTCTAGGTGTAATTTATCTATAATATTATTTAAAAATATAAGTATGTTTATCAGCAGTCTGGTTACCAAAGCACAGGTTATGCCTAGTATGGGATCAGACGGCCGTGTGTGAGATTTGTGAGGAATATTATATATTATATCCTCAATTCCAGGTTGACGACATCGGTGGACCTACCTGTGGAGTTCGTCCACTTGTACATAAGCAACTGTATATCGACGTGCGAGACCATCCGTGACAGGTACATGCAGAACCGGCTCGTGAGGCTGGTCTGTGTGTTCCTGCAGTCGCTCATTAGAAATAAGATTATTAATGTTAAGGTAAGCGCTTAACATCACTTATTAATAATAATAACTTGGTAAAATAATAACTTAGATCGATTTTGGGCTTTTTTTACGATCTAAGTGGCGTGCAATGGGAGAGACCTATGTCCAGCAGTGGACTGCGATAGGCTGATGATGATGAAAATAATAACTCTATACCGTCTGGTCTACTAAACAGCAACTAAACTAGGCAAAGCCTATACTATAATAACCAGACGGCTAATAAACATAAGTATTTCTAAATTTATATATTTATTTCTAAATTTGCTAGTAGGCCAGACTGTCCTATACAAAGGCACTGGTTGGCAATAGCAATAGTAAAGCATAGTTGAATGCCTTTCTACTATTAAGTGCCGTTACTAACAATACTAATATAGTCGTTAAGTACTTTCTGTTTCTAACCCATTACTAAACAACTTATGGACTGTATAATGTCTGAAAATAAAATTATTATTATTATTCTCTTTATTTACTTTATATACATATTATTTACATTTTTAAACATACATTTTATAAAAAAATACATTTAAAAAAATAAAAAATAGTAGACCACCGACATCGGGTACAGGGACCAAGACACCGGTGGTTAGGACTCTAAAGATAGGAACCTCCTCACTATACGAGCCGTGTCAAGGAGGACTGCATTATTAAGTACATAAATAATAATAATATTTTCGGACATCTACCACACAAGGCCATCTAGTTTCAAACTAAGCAGAGCTTGTACTATGAAAGCTAGATAGACTGATAGAATACTTACATAATTTTTTTGTAAATACATACATATTATGTTATACGACCATAAATGTCTTACCTATACATGTCTTATGTATTTAAAAATATATAAACTCAAGTATGTTTTTCAGCAGTCTGGTTACCATAGTACAGGCTCTGCCTAGTTTGGGATTATTCTACCACATTTAGACAGAAAACATATATTTAAACTGGTTTTCAGTCATAGGTATCCTGCAAATAACCGTGTGAGCATAGAAAATACCCATTACTTTGACATTACAAACAGACACTTCAATTTTATTTATTTGTATAGATATATATAGTAACGCCTAAACCAAATCGAACATTACATGTTTAACATAAGCGGGAATACAACCCGCGACTTTTCAGGTAGCAAGTCTGCCATACTAACCACTACGCCATTCGGCCGTCAAATCTTTTGGGATGTATGTAAGTTTATCAACATGATCATATCAAGTCAGCCAAGGTTCACGATCATGACACGAATACCATCGCCTTTGTCAACAAAGCATTTATAATAAAAAAATGTTCATACAATAATATATGTATAATCAACTTAAATATAAACTCCTAAAAAGGCCGTACACTAACTAAAATTATATCATCCAAGTAAACAATAACATTCATTGAATGTTCATAAAATTAAAACTACTGGGCCTAACTATGTCAAATTTTTATGGAACCAAATGGCAACTATTCCGCATCAAACTAAAGAAGAATCACGTAAATCGGATCATAAATCTCAGAGTAATCGATGTACATACATTAAAAAAAAATTGAGAACCTCCTTCTTTTTGAAGTAGGTTAAAAACTGATCCTGACTTCCCCCCTCTCATCTTTCAGGAGCTATTTATAGAAGTGGAAGCGTTCTGCGTAGAGTTCAGCCGCATCCGTGAAGCCGCCGCCCTGTTCCGGTTGCTCAAGCAACTGGACTCCGACGTGCCCGGCACTAAAGACACCAAGGATAATTAACACCACCACACGTGGTCTTACAGCACCATGGTACAGCTGAGCACACGGTCCAGTGCCGATACTATGTGTAAATATATATTTAAGTACCTTTTAATATAATTTTGTATATAAGAAAATTGTTCTTGATGCGGGTTTTTTGTACAACAATGGGGTTCTAATTATGGTAAGAGAATAAGATAGAGAGAGAGTGAAAAACTGCTGGCAGAATTAGACATAAAATAATAAAACAAAAAAAATCCTAATAATAAACTTACAATAACGTTCATTATACTGCGTTCACCTTGTTCTCGAACGAATTTTATTTATAAAAAAAAACTTAATAATAAATAAATTTTGTTTGTTCGTTCCTTTGTATCTCCTTATTTACTTAACCGATGATCATGACATTATGACGTGGGGTGTATTTAAAAACAAAAAATGAACTTTTTTGGTTGGTGATAAAATTAGTGTTAAAGAATCTACTTTTATATCTTAAGTATAAAATTTTCATTTGTAAGAAAAAATAATTCTTTCGAAAGACAAAATGTGGCTACAAATTATTAAATCATTATTAAGTAAATAGCTCCTTCGAAAAAGTGTGTGTGTGTGTCAATTCCGACGCACGACTGGAGTTTACTCCTCAAGAACACATACCCTGCGTACGTACAAATTTAGAGATCAGCGCCATCTATGTAAATGTTAGTAAAACAATTAGAAGAAACGTATTAATTGCCATTTATTTTGGGGTTTATGCCGCTTTTAAACAATTTTAATACAAAATTAAAATTGTTTAAAAGCGGCATAAACCCTAGGAAGTGGACTACTCACTAAACTTAAACAAATTGCAATTATAGAACGAATAACAAACTCACAAAAAATGTTATTGCGTAAAAGTAAATAGTTGAACCGCCATCTATAAATTACATTTAGAACTAAAAAACGTAACGAGGTCATTCGATCACTAAATTTACTCGTCATATTTTTTTACACCGGGCGCCTTAAGGAGTAAACTTCAAATATTAACATAAAAAGTATTGGACTGTGTTTTGCCTTTTTCCATTTTGACGAGAGATACTCATATAGTTTTGGGAGACTGGAATGTGTGTTTTACCCGCTTTTCCTCATTAATTTTAGTTTAACTAGTGTATATTTAGTAATTATTGGATCGAATAAAAAAAACTATGTATAATATCATCTACAATCAGAGGCCTTAACAAGTTTGAAAGCTATCTGATGTTTTATTTAAATTATATTAAATTACTACGAACAATTCTAGTACACACTCAAAATTTATATTTAATATTAAAAGAAATATTTTACTATTGTGTGAATGTGATCAAATTTACAAAAAACAGCAATTTTTGTCGTGTTTTTAAAAGTCATTATCACCAAAACATCATTTGTGTAAAATTCATAAATTACACATTTATGACTTTTACACAAATGATGTTTTGTCACAATCACAAGAACAGTTTTGTTGTGTTTTCGAATATCAATGTCACCAATTTAAACAATGTTTTTTTACAAACCACTATCACAAAAACATATTTGTTGTGTTTTTGAAAGTGAATATTACAAAGATAAACACTATTTTTTCATTAAAACATGTATCTAAAGCACAGATTATCTCCTAATAGATTCCGCATAATTGAATATTTGTTCCGATTCGAATTCACCAAATTTGGCGGTATGCAACTGTTTGACTCTATCAAATTGGTGACACATACAAGCACTGTGCATGTGGTGACGGATGAAGAATACGGAACGTCACCCCTATTCGTCCCGGAGGTGTCGTAAGAGCCGACTAAGGGAGCAATCTGCGCAAGACAACAGCACTGCAAAGAGAAGGAAAACTTGAAACAACCCCAATCCCATCAGGCCAAAACCTCCTTTCTAAGGACAGGCCTATGTCCAGCAGTGGACTATTAAAGGCTGTTGATCATGATGATGACGACAAGTATGCTGGGGATGTGTCAAATACGCTGTGATTGGATATTTCAACGTCAATTATAAAATGCACCAAACCTTAGAGGTGGGACAGGGTTGGGACGTTAATCGATAAAATAGTTTAATGATCTGAATTATTGATTTTTATTTTATTCTTGATTACTTTTATTACTTATATTGATCAATGTTTATTTGATATTTCTTAAAAAAATAAAACAATATGCTTATAAATATATTTCTGTGCCTCCCGTGAAAAGTATATAAAGTATACAAATAAAAAAACAATACTTTACAAAAACAAAATTCTAACTCGTGATTTAAGTGGGCTGGGTGAAATTGGAGTACCTTCTTTTGTAGATAAAAACATTCACTTTCACTGTACATTAATTTTTTTGTAAATATTAATAATAATAATAATATATATCACACATCTCACACACGGCCGTCTGATCCCAAACTAGGCAGAGCCTGTACTATGGTAACCAGACTGCTGATACTTTTAAAATTATTCTTGAGAAACCTGTGAGTTTTACCTTTTTTTTTAATACGTGCTTAAATTATGTGATAAATCATTTAAGTCTAGTTAAATTATGTTGCAACATAAGCTGTCTACGTGTTAATTGATATTTATTAAGTACAAATATCTAATAATGAGTTATTAGATATTTTAGAATATGTTTGTATCGCCAAGTCGTTCAAAGAAATGATAAAAATACTACCCCATAAATCAGATTTTGGTTACTTATCAATTCCCTGTTTTTATAATTTGGCTGAATGGTAATTAGTTTGATAAAATCTTGGTCTTTAGACTCGGATTTTTATTTAGAAATTTAGTATCGGATCTGTTCAAAGTGATATTACTGTAATTATATCGATATTCATAATAAATATACTAAAAAATAAAATGTGAAAATTAATATAATCGCACTAATACCACGAAGCACGAAAAATCATGTGTGCCGGAATTATTTATAGAGGTTACAACTTGAAATACTATTCAAATCTAATTTACGATATTTTTGCAAAAATCCTGCCAGTTATATCACTTTGCATAAAATTATCTCCGCAACTATACTAAATAAAAGAACGTCAGTTAGACAAAAAAAAATTATACCATTTTTTTGATAACTGGATGTCTTAGCTGACTTGCCACACCATTTCACTGTACAGGGAGCCATTTCTAATATATTATGATATAAAATTAATTTAAATTGTCAAGAACTCGGACGTGCGTACGGGTCACGAGCTTGGTCGTTACTAATGTAATAATTCTTAGCGTCACGTCGTATGCTAGCTACATCAAGTATGTATTGCGCGCCTTTGTGGCCCTGTGCGGAATCTATTAGGGGGTAATCTGTGATCTGAAGTCAATAAAATTCTTATTGTACATAAGGTAGTCCTATCTATATATATATACTATCCACTCACTATTTAAAATCACTACAGATATTATATTGTAACAATAATATTACTATTTTCTTTTTTACAAAATGAAGTAACAATGGTTAAGATGTAAAACTAATAAAGTGTTAAACTTTTATCGTCTTAAAAAAGTTTTTGTAACTATAAAACTTTTTTATTATCTAAATTTGAACAAGTAATTAATGTGTTTTTCTTTCTAGCTATTTGTAACAAGATGAGTGTTAATTCATTAAACAAATGGTAAAAAGTACGATGATTTATGTATAAGCCAGAACGTTGTGGACCATTTTAAATGAGTGTCGAACATAAATTATATCAAGCTGTTCATTTCAACAAAGAATAGACAAAGAGGCGTTTTCTTAAAAAAAAAAAATCTGAAATAAAGCCTTTTATACGCATTCGGTTTTTCTTAAATCCACTTCTCACAGGTTTGCGCATTCACCGCAAAAAAGATACCGTCTGTTGTATCGCCTCGGTTCGAGAGCACCTCCCTAACTGCCTCAGCCGGTATTGTAATCCTGGGCATCGCGCTCTTCGTTGAATGCGGTTCAGAGGGAGAAGCTGGTACTGAGGTGCCCCTGCATAGAGATTCAATGTCACAGAGATAAGATCTTTATTTACCCAAATATAATTGAATTTCTAAAATAAAATGCAAGATAGTGTAAAATGAAACAAACAAAGAAGAATTGTATTTGACTGTGAATTCATTTACAAATCATTTTCATTAATCTCTTTTATCATTTTACTACATTACACATGTACCTCTCTTTACCTTATCTTGACAATATCTTTTTAAATGTTGGAGAAGAGAATTTTATAATAAACTCTACATACCACAACCTCATTAGGACTAGAAATGAGGCATAGAGCAGGTTCAAGTAAGCATAGAGTTTCAAAACTTTTTTCAAAATCCTGCTTATTTGTTTCAGAAGATAATATTATATTTTCTTTTATTATTTAATTAAATTCATACTTATGTTTAACCATACTGATTCAAATGTAGTTCTGTAGGCAGATTGTATAATTGGATCCATTATGGTAAAATATTTACAGAGGCAGACTTAATGCCATAAAAATACTCTGGATAAGAGAGTGTAATGCAAGTATGTGAGTTTATTAAAATATGTGTAAAGTTATTATTATTTACTCTATTCTACTCCATTGTGTATATATATACACAGTGGAGTAGAATATATATATATATATAAATCTTTATATATATAATTCTTCTGTGAGTGTGTATGTCACTAAACTTCTCTCAAACAACTGGACCGATTTTGATGAAATTTTGAGGACAAAAAGGAAAAAAATTTTGGTTGTACAATGTGTTCTATCAACGAATGAATATTGTCATGCTGCGTTTATTGCTGATTATACTTAAATTAGTCATCTTTCCACACTTTTCTTTCTTTCTTTCTTCTATTGTTTTCTTTTCCTAATTTTAATGTTGTCTCAATGTGGTATTTGCAAAGAACATTGACTGGTTTCTTTTATGGACGACCATCCTGACACCAACATTCCTTAAATATGAGTAAGGGAAACCGATAGGACTAAGGAGCTAGGGATAAGAATAGAAAAGCGATCCCGTAGGAGAGAAGGGATAAGATCAGATGGGAAACAGGACTGTAACAGTCTCTCTTCAACCTCTGTTGTCGGATTAGATCATTTAAATTAATTAATTAATGTTAGAAAAGTGGACGTTCAGTTTTTACTTGAAAACCGCTTTTCATAGCCTTAGTTACTCCTTATATAGACAGCTACCCGATAGTAAAATTTTAGCAAAATCGGTCCAGCTGTTTTGAAGATTACCCGGAACAAACAGACAGACAGACAAGAAATATTTAAACTGGTTTTTAAGCATAGGTAACGTGCAAATAACCTATTTTTTGACATTACAAACCGACACTTCAATTTTTTTTATTTGTATAGATGTAGGTAGGTTGTTGTATAATTATTGTTGTACAACTATTTTGTCTGAGTAATAATTTGTTGCAAGCATTTGTGAATCACATATTATTTTCACTTTCAAGAAGAGTAAATATAAACAACAAATCAATAATTTAATTAAAACAAAAAACTTCAGTGTTCCTTCCATGTAACTTTGTTTTTAAAAGTGTATTTGATAAGCTATAATGTACAACTACTTTTAATTAAAGTTAGTGTCAAGTAACCTAACAAAATTTTATTACCTTGAAAACTGTAAATATTATTCAGACTTGTAAAATTGTGAGTTATTTCTATATTACATACTATATGTTGAGAGGTTTATAATAAAAGCAGCACAAAATATTCAGTGTGTATTAATATGAATGACTACACTAATAACCCAATACTAATTCTAACTAAACTTGGCAAAACCTTTGAATGCATGAGTCTTTTCACTAGATAAATAATTAGAAGAACAATTTTCACACATTGCTCTGTCCCGAAACTTACAACTATATAGCACCTTCCAGAACTTTCTTTATCTCATCATCAGATGCTATGTCTAATGGTGAACAGTCATCAGCGTCCTTCAAAATAGATGCGCCAGCTTTTAATAAAATCTTGGTTGACTCAATATGCCCACAGGAAGCAGCATAGTGTAAGGCAGTTTGACCACACTCATCCACACTGTCAACTGGACATCCTCCGTCTAAAGCAGCCTGTAAAGCCCTTGTCGCATTTCGGTCTGCAGCCCAGTGTAGTGCAGTTAGTCCATCTTCATCCCGATCGTGACGTAGCTCAGGGTGTTCAGCTAAAAGCTCTGCAACACGGTCCGCATAATCCTCGCGAGCCGCATCCAATATTGATAACTCACTATAGACAAGGTCAGGTTCTTCTTCAGTTCTACATAAAGATGAGACAGCCACCCAGGCTTCTTTTGCCCCCGTTTCATTATTAACATTAAGATCGGTTAGTTCTGGTGCATACTTTTGAACTAAGGCAATATATTTTTCTTTAGCCACATCACTAGGTAGGTCTCCGAGAGATTTCCAAGCATCCCACTTTCTGCGGCCACGGCCGTCTAGCCATCCAGGCTTGGGTATATTACATTTACCTTCAGTGCCTTGCTTGTAAAGACTATAAAGTTCCAATAATTGGTTATTGTCTAAACTACTAGCCAACTTCTTCATATGATCTGCAGCTTCATTAAAGGATATGTCCAAAGGTGACTGGTCATCATCAGAGAAATCTGAGTCAGGATAGTCTGGAAGTGCTTCAGCCATTGTAAAAGCTGTCTATGGCAGTATATGTCTAACTATTTTGAGCTTGGACTGTCAAATTTAGTCCTTCTAAAGTGTGCACTTGTTTGTTGGTAGCATCTGCAGCATCCGAAGAACTGGCAAACTCAATAAACCCGTACCCCTTACTCAGACCAGTGGAACGGTCAAACACTACCCTAGCACTCTGCACAGGACCAAACTGGGAAAAATATTCTTTCAGTTGACGATGACCTACAGTCCAGGGGAGGTTGCCTACATAGAGGCGTGCTGCTCTTGCTGTGCTGGCCATAACCTTAGACTGCAACTATCTCGAGCAAATGCAAAGATCGATCACCGACCAACGCTCTGTAGTCGACTCCTGAGCTCTCACTCAGTGAATCCAAGTCAAGAAGAGCTCCCTTCAGTCCCCACTTCTTCAGCAGAGCCTCAATAGACCAGTCCGCACTGCGTTCCTGGTAAGAACATAAAAATCGCGCGTCAGTACCGTCCAGGAGGTAAGTTACAGTCGATAATACTTCCTCAAACTGAGAAGGTTCATAAAAACAGTCTGAAGCTAGAAGTAAGTCTACCGGTCTTAACGAATGAACTTCTGATAAAAATAATCCCCAGGCAAGTCCGAGGATCCTTACGTCACGATTGGGCACAAGGCCGTTAGCCTCACAGCACGCAGATAAATGTCTTAGGGATCTAGGCAGAGAGACACTATCCGTGAGCGTAACACGGGCGCCACACTTAGCAGCCAATATTCCCGGCAAGCCGGTGCCACAGCCAAGCTCTAGCACACGGAGGCCGCGCAAATGCCGCCTCTGCGTCCACAAATACCAGGCTAATAGCGGCGCGGATGGCCACGTGTAGAACGAGTAACCAGCTGTAAGAAGTTCCGGTATAACTATCTCCAAATATTCACCTCGAGTGTCGCCGTTGGTCGTAGATTTGCCACGAAACACAAACTTCTTTAGCTGACCACTTACAGATCTACCATCGCTCATTGCATAAGCATTTCTTGAGATAAATAAATGAATTATGGGTTTTGACGCTGTCGTAAAATTTACTCAGAAGAATGTTGCCATCACTTAGTTGTAGGTTTTCCGACATTCCGACGCGCGACGTCCAGGAAATACAAATTAAATACTGAATTATAAATGACATATGATTATATTGCTTCATGCTTTTTTTCTTAATTAATCTAAAGAATATTGGTATATTACAAGTAATCTGAATTTATTTTATCAAGGATTACTTTGTGCTAACAAAAGAGCTATGAATTAGAAATGTGTTTTCAACGTCCTAACATTTCTAATAAATAATATCACATTGTCCTGTTATGTATTGTATGCTATTGTGTATATCTTGATCACTTGCTTTCTATAAAATCGTTATTTAATTACGACACAAATTTTTAAAAACCTACTGATGTGGACGTCTTGTGATCTTGTCTCTTTTGGTGTGATGTGTGTGGATGGATATATTAGAGCTAGCAACATTGACTTGACCTCATTCGTTCAATTATCAACTTATCATTCAATTAAGCTATGCTCTTTATCAGTTCGTTCAATCTACTGCACGTAACAATTAGTTAATCAGTTCACTCACAAACTATTTCTGCGGGTACAGGTGGCAGAACCTTTTTTTTGTGTAAAGTTTTTGTTAAAGTAAATATTAAACAACAATGTCGGCGGCAACAAAAGGTGAGTGCATTCCCTTTATGTTTAGTTCACTGTTTATAGACATCAGCCGCAGGTGTATTTAATATACAGTGAGGGGTCAAACTCCAAATGGCATGTATCATCATAACTTCACTTATGTATAAATATTAATCCCTTTCATTATTAATATTCTTGAGTAAACTGTATGATATTTCTTGTATGGTATTTTATTTGTTGCTAATTAAAACTAGTTAAGCTGTTTATATTAATTGACAACTTAGTAATACTGTTGACCGGGATCTGAGTGCTAAAGTCCGATATTATGGTCCATTGATTGAAATAAAAGCTCTCCTTCTCAAATGAATAATTTAAGTAATAATGATAGTAGCGATTGGCCCGTGCTTCATTTGAGGTATATATTAAGACTAGTGATACGCCCTGGCTTCGCACGGGTACAAATATATTTTTATACTACTAATGTGGAATATATATTTATACTATTATTATAATAGATAAGACTATACTACAGGATATCTTTATATACAATATTTATAGGCCCTCCGATCCTACGGGCCGTTACCACCGGGCGTACGGCCTGACGACGGCCGCTTTGCCCCCGCATTTTAAATCCCTGATATCTCCTAAGATATTCATTTTAATGATATGTTGTGTGGCAATGTTTTAATGGCAATTTTGGTCTAAATTAAAAGCACAAAGTATGTAACTTATTCAATTGGATAATTAATAATACTGTATTGTTCAAAATAGCATCGTAAATAACCCATTATTGTTTGGTTACTCTGGGTTATCCTTAGGAACTATACATATACAATCGTCAACTTTTTTGTAGATCTTTGTAAGATATTCAATTCTGTGGTACATTGTTTTGATCTATCTCGTAAGGTTTAGCCAGTGTTTGCAATGTAAGCGCAAAGTTTTTTACGACTTCACATTACAAATCCTTGAAATTCTCGGATTTCCTCTACTAGAATATGCATGTATTATAAACCTTCCCCTTGAATCGCTCTCTATTGTTGGTATTTACATCAACAATTTCGTATTCTAGCATATAATATAGAAAAACCGAAACCGCTACAAGTGTTTCCTCCTTCATGTATTGACTGCCTTCAATTTCCCCAAAAACCAGTACAAACCGACTACTATGTGTGCAATAATCATAAAATTATTTATAATTGATTCAGATATTCATCTGTCCGATATGGAAACATAGATCTAATAAAAATTAACTGAGAAAATACTCCTTTTTGAAGTCGGTGAAAAACAATGAAGTCATAAAACAATGAAAATCATAAAAGGTCTCGTTTTACGCTGGCAATTACTTTTATATGACTCAAAATATTGCCTTATCGAAATATTGTTTTGTTTGTAGCTGTTTATAGTGATTGATGTGTCAAACGCATGTTATTTTTACGTAGGTATACATTAGTTTTATTGACAAACATATTTTTTAAATATTAATATAAATTAAAAATGATTTTTGAAAGAAAGAGAAAGAATACATTTAACTTGTTCTCACACAGAGGCAAATAACCGAAAATAAATAACGTCCAATCTACAAAGTATACATATATTATACCTTTTTAAGATCAAAATTAGTCGTTACGTCAGCACTCAGCTCCAACAACACAGCTCGTTCGTAAGAAGTTACGCTCACGTCTAAGATTAAATTCACGATGAGAAATGAGCACCTACATAAATACCTAACAAAATATTTACAATAACATTGTAATTATTAGAATAATTTTGCTTATCACCATCAAATAAATAAAGTAAGCGAGTGCGCGCACAAGTGACTTGTCACCGTAACCTTCTTAGTGTCGTCGGGCCTATGTTATAACAGATTCGTAAGATTAAAAGAAACATGTAGCATTTGAAATAAACCTACGTTTACTTCATTCCGATCGTTCAGATTTAGGATGCACTGCGTAAATGCTTAAACCGTCTAAAATCATCTAGAATCGTAGTGATGAGTCTTCTTTTCCTTATTTCTAATTTTCATTAGGCCTATGACTGTTTATATATTTGCTCTGTGCATTCCATTTTTGAAAGTAAATTAATGGCAGGTACCTTAAAAAAATTAACTTAATTACGCTGTAACTAAAATTATATTGTAAATTATATACGAGTTATGCGCCTCGCCTGCGTTTATAGTCCTTTTCTTGTCTGAGATTTTTCTTCAAATTAAGTACTCGTACCTTGGGGTACATCACATGTAACATCAGGTAGCTATTACTACGGGTGGAGAACATAATCACATCTGTCCAATGCTGCGAGGATTGGCTGGGATAAGAGATATTGCACGCTTTTAAGAATACGAAGTGTTTTTTTTTTAAGTTTGTCTTATTGCTATAAATTCACACTTTGTCTTGACGTGTACAAACCGCACTGGGTAAAAAGAGATGTCCGTGTCCAGAAGGGCCCGGAAGGATCATCTCCACTCGGACCCAACCAGCGCCTCATGTCACCCTGAGAGTGGCCGCGGGTGGACGGGACAGGTTTTCCCCTTCACCCGCCATAACCGCCAGCCGCGAGAAGGATCCGCGTCTGCCAGACGTCGCCTAAATAGAGAATATATGCCGTTGCGGGCAGGCGCTAGGAGGGGTCCGTATGTGTTACTAACAGCAGTTCCCGGATCCCTCCTATTACAAGCGCAGAGTGGCACACCGTGTGGTTTTAGTCGGTTCAATTCTGAGATACCACCCCGCCGCAAACCCCGGTGAGGTGACGCGGCCCAAGGGGGTTTCCACAGGTAAAAAAAGGCTCTTGGCCATAAAAAAAAACAAGCTTAAGGCCTTATGGAACTTGTAAGGTCCTACAACAAGTGAGTCCTACAAACGAGTTCGGCTCGATAATCTGAATATTAAAAAGCTTCTCAAGATAACACATATCTTGTTACCAGGTATATTTATTGTGGGCGCTAAGCGCACCGCGTTCGGTACTTTCGGCGGCGTATTCCGAAACACATCAGCCACTGAACTGCAGACTGCAGCCATGGCAGCATCACTAAAGGAAGCCGGTGTGGCTCCCGAGCAAGTAGATACGGTCGTCGTTGGACAAGTCATGTCGGTAAGTGATCTCAGGTACTTAGAATTAATATATACCTAGTCTGTAACTCTGAACTTTGGGCAACAAGAGGCCAGCCTGCCAGTGGAGCAGCCCTGTGCTGTATTCCGTATCTTGAAGAGGCGCAAATCTCTTGCTACATATACTGTTATGATCTGTTCTGCATTTTCTTGACGATAAAGTAGCTATGATTGATGATGAGTTTTGTCTCCGCTTAATCTCTTTATATGCTCTGTGAGCTCTTAAAGAAGTTTAAAAGTCTTATATAGAATACATATAAGTTACACACTTACACAAAAAGACTAAAAATGTTTTTTTCTTTTGTGTCAGGCATCTCAAACCGATGGCATTTATACGCCCCGTCACGCCGCGCTCAAGGCTGGTATCCCTAAAGAAAAGCCAGTGTTGGGCATCAACAGACTGTGTGGGTCTGGTTTCCAATCAGTTGTAAATAGTGCACAGGTGGGTACTTATTTAATAAGATCATTTTAAAATCCTTTCATTTTTAGAACTTATGCTCAAAGTATGTAATTTCATTTGTTATTTACTTTTTGTGTCTTAATAAATCAATAAAAAGTAAGGGATCTTGACCGAAATAAAGGTCTTAAGACTTGATTATGTTTTGAAAATACTTAGAACGTATTACACCTACAGAGCACAGATCGTCATCATGTTACAGATTTCATTCGTGAGTTTACGATGTCTGTTTGCTGCAACCATGAATAAATATACATTTACTTATTATAAGTAGTTCTTAGAAAGATCTGTGGAGAATAAAAAGAAAAAATCCATAAACTAATAATAATAAAAAACCATCTCATGGGTATTTATAAACCACTTGCCGTAGTTATAATGAACATGTAATAGGTGTAGCTTATATAATACTACTTTAGCGATTTCTACATAAATTATAATTTACTAGCTGGCCCGCGCAACTTCGTCTGCGTCTCTCAATAGTAATAAATTTTCTCCGTTTTCGAAACATTCTTCATTGGTGCTCCGCTCCTATTGGTCTTAGCGTGATGATATATAGCCTATAGCCTTCCTCGATAAATGGGCTATCTGACACTGAAAGATTTTTTTAAATCGGACCAGTAGTTCCTGAGATTAGCGCGTTCAAACAAACAAACAAACAAACAAACTCTTCAGCTTTATAATATTAGTATAGATAAACAAATAAAAGTACCGAAGGCGATACCGTCGGGGTTTTGGATGGCATTGAGCTTTTAACCAATCGCAACGCCAAACACAGTCGCTATCGGATGATCGAGTTGTTGTGAAATTTGCATCAGACCCCCTCCATCACAGCCATCACAGTTATCACTCAGGATCTCGGTGATTCGAATTTAATTTCTGAATGTGTGAGCTTCAATAATAGTAATAATTTAATTGCAAAAGATAGTAGAACTTGCATGCATACATAAGTAATAAGCAATCAACATATCATCAGCCTATCGCAGTCCACTGCTGGACATATCAACGTATACTTACATACGATTATGTATTAAAATCCTTTCTTCTTCTTTTCTCAAAAGACAACTCTCGCATTAGGAATATATCCTATGTCGCGGGGACAACACAAACATACATGAAAAGGAGACAAAAGAACAATTTGTGGATCACACAAAGTGTCGACCCACAAGGACGACACTTTGTGGTTAAACCCACAACACTAAACCACTCCGCCATTCGTGCAGTCAATGCAATGCAATGATGACAAATAGAAAGTATAAGTAATACGTTTGTTTATTCAGCTACCCTTTTCCTTCTTCTTCATTTTCTTTCAAATATAGAGGACCAATAATCAATTACTCCATCATATCAGAATTTGGACCGATTTCGATAGTAAAATTATTGTGCTATAATAGGTACTCGTTTTTTCACTGCTCTAGGACATCCTAACCGGTGCAGCTAAGATTTCTCTTGCTGGCGGAGTTGAAAATATGTCTCAAGCACCCTTCGCTGTCCGAGGAGTAAGGTTCGGAACTGCCCTAGGGTCCAGCTACGCCTTCGAAGACACATTATGGGCTGGTCTCACGGATTCCTACTGTGGTCTCCCTATGGGTATGACCGCGGAAAAACTTGGTGCCCAGTTCGGAATCACCAGGGATGAAGTTGATAACTTTGCTTTGAGGTCTCAGCAAAGATGGAAGGCTTGTAAGTCCTAATAAAATTATCGTGATATATTTTCATAATTTAATGAAAACCAAAAACTTCCTTAATTCTATCTTAATTTACAAGAATGGTGGTTAATAAAGTAGATTATGACCCTGAGAATGATGAAATGGTGACAAAATTCTTTCAAACGTTTATTTGTGTATATGTTAGGTGAACTTTGGGTTGGTGGGCGATTGCTACGACAATTATTTAAAGCAGACGTAAATATATATTGAATATATAAATATTTCAATCAATTCCTCAAACACTTATTCAAGATATCAGAACAGAATCTGTCCTACGTAGATGGGAGACGTAATGGTCGAGTTTCTGTTCGCTGACAGTCAGACGAATTGTTAGAATGCCAAAATAAACTGTTGTTTAAACAATAGTTTCTGTTCAACAGTAACCATAGAAATTTTTCAGCGGGCAGGGTTTTTACTAAAAAAAAAACCAACTAAATCTCTTTTTCAATTTAGTCTTTAATAGTTAAAAAATGGGCTTTGGTGGTCAGTGGACGTGGTGGACCAAAAATTAACAAAACGTTTCCCTGTTTACCTGATGTTTGCCAGGCTAAATGCTTTTATGTATCTATACCACACTTTCTTCCATTAGCCAATGACGCTGGAGTATTTAAGGCGGAAATCGAACCCTTTACCTTAACGATTAAGCGTAAGGAGGTCCAAGTGGCGGTTGACGAGCACCCTCGCCCGCAGACCACGATTGAGGGTCTAAAGAAACTGCCTCCTGTATTCAAGAAGGAGGGCCTTGTTACCGCTGGCACAGCTTCGGTGAGTACTCCGATTTCTCCTTTTCTTCTTTGGATAACTTACGACAGAATATCCAGCCCTAAGATTCCTTAAAATATGATTATTGGTAGTGAATGTCTCTGCAGTTGTGTGTAAATTTATTTTACTTTGACATATATTAAATTAGAAATTTCCTTATTTTTTGGGTGTAAATTTTGAATAACATATTAAATTTTAAGCTGTCATGGCATAATTTAGGTACTTTGTTTTTCGGTTTTAAAATGAAATACCTATTGTAAAGAAAGATTAATCTAACTTTGGAAAGTTATGTCACTTGATAAATTCTAAATAAGTAAAGCAATCGGCAACTAAGAGTTTAATTACAGTTATTTGTCCAAATGACTCATGTCTGAGGCTCAGAGAACCTTGTCAAAAACTATCAAAATATAATAGGAATGATATTTCTTAGGGTATCAGTGATGGTGCTGGAGCCATTCTTCTAGCTAGTGAAGAAGCAGCAAAAGGTTTGAAGCCCCTCGCCAGGCTCGTGGGCTGGTCTTACGTAGGAGTAGACCCTAGCATCATGGGAGTTGGACCAGTACCTGCTATCGAGAACTTGCTCAAGGTCACCAAAATGACACTGAATGACATCGATCTTATCGAGGTATGATTCATGCTGGTATGGTAATATTTTGACGTACAACGCTACAATTTTAAGAAAAAATATTTGAAACCGTAGTTCGAAATTGACAAACGGAATTTCAAAATAAACCGACAAAGATAATACACGTATTTTCTAAAAGAGGGACTTCTAAAATTAATTAGGTTAAAGTAAATATTTTGTATTAATTAAACATGCGTACACCGTTTTGCGAAAATATAAACTTCCTTTTTTAGATTCACTTTATTTTCTGCAATAAATAAGGACTGAAAATGTAACAGCTTCCTTTAACACGTTTTACATAATAAGTATTTAACCAGGGTCAACTGCTTAATGAGATCTTAAAATTGACAGATCAACGAAGCCTTCTGCGCTCAGACCTTAGCGTGTGCTAAGGCCCTGAAGCTAGATATGGAGAAGTTGAACGTTAATGGTGGAGCAACCGCACTTGGACATCCTCTTGGTGCTTCTGGATCACGAATCACCGCCCATTTGGTGCATGAACTGAAGTAAGGATGCTGAGAGTTCAGATCAAGGTTTTTTTTAATGAAAGTGGGCCTCATGGTCATGTTAATGCTGTCATCATCACAGCATTTTTCTTATCAAGTCAGGACATTGATCAGACTTTAATTAGACTTGTTCATGGCTTCATGGTCATTGAGTCATGAAAATCTCGAGCGGGACTCCAAGAGCGGCAACGCACTTGTGACTTTTCAGTTGCAGGTGTCCAAGACGGACGAGCGGACGGGTCACCTGATGGTAAGCAACAACCCCGTTGCTTACCATCAGGTGACCCGTCCGCTCGTTTGCCCCCTTATGGCATAAAAAAATAATTACATATTTAGTCACGATTTTATGTTATACTCGTACTTTGACCGCTTATTGTTTATTTTTATTTATTTTATTATTAGATTTTATAGGAGTAAAAGAAAGTTTAAAAATTGTTTTAGTTATTGCTATCATGTCAAATTAAATATATCGACAATAATAAAAATTCTTATAAATTAATTTAAAGATTAGCGTATATACTAATATTTATACAATTTTTTTTTATTCAGACGCCGTGGACTCAAGCGTGCGATTGGCTCGGCGTGTATCGGCGGTGGACAAGGCATCGCTGTAATGATCGAATCTGTCTAAAAGTGAACGAATGTATAAATGGTGAATGCGTGGTATAGTAGGCCAAAACCTCCTTTCTAAAGAGAGGCCTATGTCCAGCACTGATCTATTAAAGGCTGTTGATGTGAATGAATGAGTTGCTATTCATTTCATATTATTATTCAAATTTCACTCCTAATTTTAATGGCAGTGGTAATTGATTTTCTCTGGAAAGTACACTTTACATACATTTTATGTCAACTTTTTTATTTAACCTGTAAAATATTCATTGTGGAACTTTCTGTTCTCCCATAATATCAGTTTTTGTGAGAGGTACATTAGGGAAGTTTATTCCCTTTGTTTTAAAAGTTAAAAATTGTACATAAATATTTAGTGTAAACATATACATTATACTGTGTGCTATTTTTCTGGATTTTTATAGACTTATATATTAAGTGTTAACTTTTGAAAGTTATTAAATCATGTTACATAAACAACGTAATTTTATTTATTCATATAAACATAACCTTCTTTCTAAGGAGAGGCCTATGTCCTGCAGTGGACTATTAAAGGCTGTTGATGTGATATAAACATACTTTGTGGCTTCTCAGCAAAATTTACGAAGGTAATACTGACCCAACAAGTTATCTAAGACAAATGCGGTATTATTACGTTATCTTTTTGGTAATTTTTTTTTTTTTTTTTTTTTTTTTTTTTTTTTTTTTTTTTAGATTTTTATTGTTTAGTTAAGCATACATTTATTCTGCTTACAAGATCAAGTTTAGCTTTGACAAGGTTATGATGATCGCCACGAGTTACAATCATTACTGATACGGAGACCGCCGCGCATGAACGCCTGCAACTCAGGACAACACAAAAACCCTAACTGATGTTAAAATCGTTAGAAGGAATAAAAGTTATGTGATAGAAAGGAACTACACTTTTAGGTGAATACATCTGTAGGTACAATAACACTGTACGGTCTGAATTGCACTTTGTTCTGTTGGAAAAAGAGTCCTTATTTAAATGATTTTGGCGACTGGTTCTTTTGTACATATTGGTGCTAAAACAAATACAAAAATAATTTAATAATATATGTGCTTTATAACAAAATTAAGTTTACTTTCGATTTCCAGGGATGCAGAGGCATAGACTACACTATAATAACAGTATGAGTAGGTAGCGTCCGTAAGCGTACCGAATGCAGTTAGGACTTGAAATGAATGACAGGAGCTTGTCCTACTGCCCCTTTTAAAAAAAGTTTCTGTGTTTAAACGGAGAGTTATTCTTATCTCTTACTTTATCTATCTAAGTACTTACGATTAAACATAACAATTGTTATTATTACGAAACTTTATAACATGGATTAGGTTTCCTAACATGTTATTTAATAGAAGTAGTTTATCAGATAATAAAAGGAATGTGTGATAGATATATAGTAATATTGCTTTGAAGATAAAAACAATAACTACACAGTGTCAATTGTAAAACAATTAGTTTTACTAAGGGTCGAAATTTAATCGCAATGACCTAATAGCTTGGAGGGATACTGTTTGAACATATAATTAGGTACCTACTATACGAGATCTCGGAATAAAATAAATAGCCAGATGAACTTCAACGAACACATCATACAGGTTTGAAGTAAACCTTACAAATCACGAGGGTTATATTCCAAACTAGCCAGGTAGAGATATATAGGTAACTAGCGATCAGCCCCGGCTTCGTACGGGTAAAATGTAGACACTACTAATATGGTAACAAGATGGAGTAATTAATTATACTATCATTATAACAAGACTAAACTACAGGACACATTTATGATGCAATATTTATAGGCCCGCTCCGCTCCTGCCGACCGCTGTCATCCGAGACGAACGTACGGCCCGACGCGCCGAGGGCCGCTTTGTCCCCACATTTTAAATACGTACCTATATGATGACTACTAAGATATTCAGTAAAAGACAGTCTTTATCTACATTAAATGCACAACGTATCTAACGTATTTGGATAAGGAATAATACTGTATTGTTCAAAATAGCTCAAAAAATTACCTATTATTTTTTGTAATATGTATGTATTTTTTTAGATGTTTTAAGATATACAATTCCAAAGTACATTGTTTTGATCCATCTCGTAAGGTTTAGCGTTTATTGCAAAACGCACGTTTTCAGCGACTTTAAATTACAAATCTTTGAATTTCTCGGATTTCCTACACTATAATACTTACGCATTAGGTACATATATAAACCCGCCTCTTGCATCGCTCTCTCTCTCATTGGTGGCAACCGCATTAAAATCCGTTGCATAGTTCTCAAAGCGACTTCATTTTATCATATGTAAAGATACTAATAATAACAATAGACTACTAACATAACAATATGTTACTAAATACATATTATAGACTGCACGGATGGCGTAGTGGTTTAAGCGGTCGCCAAGCCGTTGTGAGTTCGATCCCCACATGGGACGACACTTTGTGTAATGCACAAATTGTTGTTCTGAGTCTGGGTGTTCTTTGAGTCCGTTTCATGCATGTTTGTAAAGTTCCCCGCGACACAGGACATGTTCCTACCGCGGGAGTTGTCTTAACAAAGACACAGCCAAGACAACTCCCGCGCTAGCAAAAATACACCCAAACACGGGACAAATGATCATGGCAGTAAAACTATTATACCATAATATATATTCTTCATACGAAATCTAAATCGTGATTCTGTACATAGCACATCACATATCCCCCATTGTATTTTTTTTAGTGATGACCGTTTATCGTAGCAATATCGATGTCAACCGGGATTTATTCGTATCTAGTGTTTGATTAAAATATCTATTGTTAAGATAAGGTTGATGTTCAAGGTGACCGACATCTACGTAAGTTTTAGTGGCACCGTGTGTCAGAATCAAACCAACTAAAACACACGGTGTGCAAAATTGGAAGGGGGAGGGATCAGCCCAAACAACTGTTGTTAAGATCTCCGCTCCTCATCAACAGCCTTTAATAGCAGGGCCGGATTAACCATGTCGGGGCCCTTAGGCAATGCGATCCACAGGGCCCATTGTCACACGTTTGAAGATTATCAGCTCTTTGTTAGTCGATGAAGGGTTGTCAGTAATAGCATCAGCAGCATAACCTGACGGATGTTTAACTGTTAAGGAACTTACAGCAAAACGGTTATGGTCTGATGATGGAGCAGGAAAGAAAAATAAGACACGGCTGTTTTAATTTTAAATTACGACTATATTGTTGTTAAGTGCAACAAAAAACAATAAACGAATGGAAATAGTTTGTCAAGTACGTAAAGTTTAAATAATAAATTTTTCAGCTTTTTTGGATACAACATCGTTCATCGCATCTTGAAAGTTGACCTTTACGGATACAGCATTTTCAGTCAGCATTATTGACAATCAAGTTAAACGGTTCTCAGACATTTATGAACAAACATTTTAACTTCGAAAAGTTACTTTCATGCGTTGCGTTTTTCCACCTAACGTTTTCAGTGTATTAAAAAAAAAAACCTAATAAAAATTAAAAAAAAAACGAGTGTGCACACGACTGATGTAAAACTTCTTGGCTATGACAGAAAGAGAGAAAGAAAATGTGTGCTCGCACCTCTCTCTCTTGCCTTCTCTATTGTATTTAGATATGGATATTGTATTCAGGCTGGCTGATTACTAAAGTATAGAAATAATAACTACAAACCAAATCAAAATAATAATTAGAATGGCCACAGGAGAAATTCTAACAAAGTCTTGACTTAAAAACAGTGATACCCAATTTTGGCATTAACATTAATACATATTTTTAGAATTTATGAGGATGGCATTCGTATGTCAGAGTATTCAGCGATTCATAGAAGCCATAAACCGATCTCTACGATTGGCAACAAATCAATGTTTTAAACGAATTCTATATTCTTAGAAAACAGGCGATGCCCCTTATCGATGCGGGGCGCCTAGGCAGTTGCCTACTGGAAAATCCGGCCCTGTTTAATAATCTACTGCTGGGCATAGGTCAAAAAGTAAAAACTTGAAACAAACCCTATAGGACTAACCCGTCTTGCCAGCGCCAATACCTCTTTAAAAAAAAATAATAATAAGGTATCCAGACTCGTCGGTGCAAGCTCTTAATCAGAGTAGCTACAGGCTACTGCTAAATTATTGTCTTCCGCTTTTTGGTTGACACTTGTCTTGGACTTAATATAAAAGGTGTTTCGGTCTTCTTAATGTGTTACATCTTTCTTCACGATTTCCAGCCATTTGTGGGAGTGGTTTCGTGAAAAGGGACGGAAATGTGTAACAGCTAGCCAGTCACATTAAACGAAGGTCGACTGTAAGAGAAGGTACTACTTATGCATTCAGTTTTAAATAAAAATAAATACACAATAATAAAGGCGCATTACAGTTACCGATACCTTTTCATAAGTTAATTATTACTTTATAATAAAATACACCCATACATTTTTCAATTATTAAAACTTTCTACAAATATGTTGCACAAGGCGGCCTTGATGCTACATGCATTATTTTCAAGTCAAGGTCATTGCAAAACTGTGTATTATTTGGAACTAGTACAAACTAGTATTTATTAGGTATAGTTTATAAGTGTGTTAATTTAGTATAAATATCAATATGGGTATAATATAATAGATAAGTACAAATGACCCCCTTAAAGTTCATGTTCTGACTTAGTTATGTCATTTTTAAAATAACACATTTTTCCTTATGTGGATAGGTACGAAAAAAACAAAAATAGTTACCATTATTTTTTAACAATGATACCTTAACTACTCATATCGAACATTGACATAATCTAAAGTGTCTTCATAAAATATAAACCCCAGTGAACGATGCGATAAGCAAAAGAAATTTTCATAACAGTCAAAAATTGTTAATGTACTGACGTGTGACTGTGGGCAGTATTACAAAATGGCCGTCGCTATAAATAAAGGTACATTATCTTATTAAAAATAATAATTCTCAATAAAGCAATGTTTTAATAATTGTGACAATATATATTTTAACTTTTGTATTATAAAATCGCCTGTTAAATATGTCTTATTTATAGATAAAATGATTTAAAATTAAAAAGACGATTTTTGTTTTCAAATAATAAAATGTCCATGGTTTAAACGTAGCTTTAACTCAATAATGGTCGGAGGTATTTTTACGTAGATTAGGTAATAGAATTATATCGAAATATAATATTAATAATGTTTTAAAAACACGCTATTCTACCTAACAGGCTATGTGTTAAGATATGAAGTTGTCACCTTTATACAAGGGTCAACGTCCGGTTGCAAGTTGGATTGATTTATTTACATAATATGTATACGAGTATTGTACATACTTCACATTATTAAGTAACTCCATTATAGCCAATTATAGGGACATATAATATTATGAATTTTTACTCAACTGCTTCAGGAGGGTTTTCGAGTTTATGTATGTAAGTATAATTCTTTGGCAAGGCTTGGTGGATTTTGGCGTTTTAGGTGTAGTTAGATTAGGGCTGACATACTTCCCTTTACATGTCCCGGTCACTAAGTCATTTGTCCCGGTTTGGTAGATAGTTGTATACGTAAACACGAGTTTTTTTTACAAAATATAGTAAACAAAGGTATTTTGAAGCGGAGACGCAGCCAGCACTGAAGGCCGACAGGCGCGTGAGTCAGAGGCGCTGGAGGCGGGGCTGAAGCCCCTCCAAGGCAGCGGCACAAGGCTTTTGCTTTCGACGCAACACGATACGCACTATACTGTACCTTCTTATTCGACTCCATTAACATTGTTATCTTCTACACATCTACACAAATAAATAAAATTGGACTGTCTGTTTGTGATATTAAAATAACCGCTTTTTACTAAATGCAAATTTATGTTTACATGGTACATATGCCAAAATAACATTTTTTGTCTGTCTGTCTGTCTGTTTGTTCCGGGTAATCTCTTTAACGGCTGGACCGATTTCGACGGGACTTTCAATGGCAGATAGCTGATGACATAAGGAGTAACTTAGGCTACTTTTTTTAGACTAGCTTCGCCCCGCAGCGTTGCCCGCGGTTATAACAACAAACGCGGGTAACACCGCGGGTCTCAGCTAGTGTAAACTAAAAGTGAAAGCATAACGCAATATTACAAGTATATTGTTTTATTTAGTCTACGACAATATAGGTACAACATACACACAGAGGCTGAAACAGTGGTCCTTCGAGGCAGATACTAGGGTAGCCGGATAATTTTTTTGTACAATTTGATATTGTAAATACATAATAACATATTATTAGCAAGTTAAAGTACTTGAGTATAAAGGGATTTTTATATTAATTACGAGTTTGTTACCTTTGAGGTTAAGAATACGTTACCTTTGAGGTTAAGAATACGCTCTTTTCTTGAAGGTTTGAGGGTCGTTTCGTTCGGGAAAAAAATGTGCTTTTGAATATAAACGTAAAACTCAATTATTTATGGAAGGGAGACAGGGAGAGAACATCAGAGAGAGATCGTGCTCATCACATAATTATTTTTCTTTGGATGCACTCGAACCCATGATTTCTGTCTTTTCTATTTATGGTTTAGATGGTAAACGAGCAGACGGGTCGCCTGATGGTAAGTGACCACCGGTGCCAATGGATACCTGTATCTCAAGAGTCTCCAATGCGTTGTCGGCCTTTATGTGCTCCACCAGAATTAAGAGAAGTGTAGGGCCTCTGGAAACCTTTTTCCATTAGTAAACACCAGTTTTCTGTGAGGCCGTGGCATGAAACTAGTCCAGCCGGGCCGTATGTGCCGAAGTATGGCTCTCATGGTCAGCATCTACGTTTTTTTCGAACCGGGGCAAAAACTTAATAATAGCGCCCCCTCTCTCCAGCGTCTGAGGTAAATAACTTAAAAAAACTCACAATACATTATGATGTTTGGTATTGGAGTTAACAATGTATTGTTGTTTTTTATTTTATTTTAAACGTATTTATAATTGGCGCCCCCTGAAACTGCCGCCCGGGGCGGGTGCTCCGGTTTGCTCCCCCTAGATCCGGGGCTGGTAGTCAGGGTCACTAACCACCACACCAACAGGTCACTCAAAGACAAAATGTTCATAGAAAACCCATATTTCTTTTCCATAGGTATATTCATAGTGGCTGCTAAGCGCACACCCTTTGGAAGGATGGGTGGAGCGTTTAAAGACATGCACCCGTCAGACCTGCTCGCCGTTGCTGCTAAAGATGCTCTGAAGGCGGGCAACATTGCACCTTCTATCATTGATACGGCTAATATTGGACAAGTTAATAATGTAAGTTATTCATGTCGCACGTTTGACGTTGGCAGACTTGTCACCTCGGCATCACTTGCTTTTTAGAAGGGTTCATATTATGCCGCTGTTTTGTTTTCTTTATTCAGTTGATAATCAAGCACATGGGGAATTCACGGCTTATTGTCATGTACATGACAATGTGTTTTGTAAAAACTATCCAACACTACAAGAATTTTTCAACTCGAAACAGTAGTTGCTAAGGTTAGCACGTTCAACCAACCAAATAAACCAACTCTTCAGCTTTATTAGTATAGATCATCTGAATTAATCATGACCGATAATTAAAATCTCCTTTCAGATTAGCGGCACACCTGATGGTGGACTATCTCCGCGACACGCTGTTTTGAAGGCAGGAATACCGCAAGAGACGCCAGCCCTAGGCGTGAGCAGACTTTGTGGTTCTGGATTTCAGGCTGTTATCAATAGTGCCCAGGTAAACCTTCAAAAAATATAGCTTAGCAGAAAACAGCAGTACTGATTGATCGTGATCTTTATGCAGTTCCTAATCACCTTTTAGATTTTAATTTCTCTTTATCTTTTCTCTTTTTTTAAAAGTCATCTTCCGCACTAAGAAAACTCTGTGTCGTGGGGGACTTTATACAAATATTCATGAGATGGACACAATGAACCCCCCAGAGTCACAACAACGATTTGTGAATTACACAAATTGTGCCCAGGTAAACCTTCAAAAAATATAGCTTAGCAGAAAAAAGCAGTACTGATTGATCGTGATCTTTATGCAGTTCCTAATCACCTTTTAGATTTTAATTTCTCTTTATCTTTTCTCTTTTTTTAAAAGTCAACTTCCGCACTAAGAATACTCTGTGTCGTTGGGGACTTTATACAAATATTCATGAGATGGACACAATGAACCCCCCAGACTCACAACAACGATTTGTGAATTACACAAATTGTTGTCCCATGTATGGATCGAACCTTGTGGGTTCAACACTCAGCGCAGCCGCTTAAACCACTATGCCATCCGTGCAGTTGTGCAGTACAAGTGTAATAAACTACAACAATCCTAAATTGTTGAGTTTAACAAATGCCAATTTGTTTCAGGACATTCTAACCGGAGCCGCCCAAGTATCTCTCGCTGGTGGCACTGAAAACATGTCAGCAATGCCATTTGTGGTCAGAAATGTTCGTTTTGGAGTCGGTTTAGGAGTTAAAATACCGTTCGAGGACTCCTTGACAGCAAGTTCTTTGGATACGTATTGTAACTTCACCATGCCACAGACGGCTGAGAACTTGGCTGAAAAGTATGGATTGACGAGAACGGAGGTAGACCAGTTCTCTCTGCAGTCACAGAAGAGATGGAAAGCTGGTGAGCGCTCATATCGAATTTATGTTAATGGATTCGCATTTCATTAATCATTAAAATATACCTGTATGTATTAATCATTAAAATATATCCATTTTCAATGTTTTTGGGCGATCAGCCTAATAATATATTAAAAAGCACCTAAAACCTGTGCGTTGTTACACAGATTGTACGGGGTTTTAGGGACAAACGAGCTTAAAATTCATCTAATGGTAAGTGACTACCGTGGTCAGCAGACAGATCAGCAGCAGTATGTCTCTATGGGAGAGTATTGGCAATAGTTCACACAGGTCAAATGTCAAACCCGTTATTCGAATTGGCTGGGATGAATCTTAAAATACCTTCCATTAGTAAGTCTATGCCTTTACTTTCAGCGCACGATGCTGGTATATTCAAAGCGGAGATGTCTCCAGTGACAGTGAAGGTCAAAAAGCAAGATAAAGTGGTGGAGGTAGACGAGCATCCTCGCCCTGAGACAACAACTGAAATGCTGAGCAAACTACCCGTTTTATTTAAAAAAGGGGGTGTTGTGACTGCCGGTAACTCTTCTGTAAGTAAATATACATATTTATATTCCAGGATTGTTTAAATAGTTTACTTAGGCTAAAAACTCGTAGGTACTACCATTTTAAACAGAGCCATGGCAACATAGTAATTAGTAATTTAGTAAGTAATTTGTACATGGCATATAGAGTTGTCTTATATACCTAAATTTACAAGGAAAACCAGTACAACATTATATAATAGATCATAGGACTCTCTTTCCTAAACTAGGCAGGAAACCGGTCTGTATCTTAGGAAAGATATGACATGACAACATGACTTCGATAGCTTCATATCAGGACTAATCAATCAATCAAGTCCAGAGGCAGGAATCAAAATTCAGAGCAATCAAACAGGTGTCAAAAGCTAACTGAAGGTAATCAATTTGTAGAGTATTTTATGGTTTAAGCGGCTAATCTAATCTAATCGGACTTTGGAGGAGTAGTACTAGTACACTGGGTCGGGTTCGAGTCCGACATGCCACCGATAGGTGGTATCTGAGGGGATTTCCGCACGAAAAAAAATATTTAAAAAAATGGAGTAGTACTTAGTACCTAAGAGTTTTTAAATAGTTCAGTTGCTTCAACGGTTTGTTTAAAGTTTATGAATGGATTACAGTTGTTGCGAAAATAACTAAATAATTAAAAAAATAGCACCGCCCACTCCACTCCAAGCTCTAAAATATCTAACCACAAGTCATAAAAAAGATATATATTGTTTTCCCTGTGCCTGTTTCTGGTGCGGTTGAGTGGTTAAGGCATGAATGTGTAACAGACGAACAAACATATATTCGAAACACAAGCAAATATTTAACTCAAAAATATACGCTGTGAAAACTGTTGTTTTTTTTTAACGCAACGGACACAAATACAAATTTTATCTGTTTAGGGGGTGAACGACGGTGCTGGAGCTCTCGTCGTAGCTAGCGAAGAAGCTGTAAAACAGCATGGTCTTACTCCATTAGCTAGACTGGTCGGCTGGTCCTTTGTAGGAGTAGACCCCAGTATCATGGGTATCGGACCAGTGCCAGCCATAAACAACCTACTGTCTGCTACTGGATTGAAACTGGAAGATGTGGATTTAGTTGAGGTAAATACTGTAATACTAGTAGATAAATGTTAACTTTGAACATTAATTATTGAAAACATATTTCAGAGCCATCTACCGAAGATAAACTGAACTAAACAGTAAATATTTAATCTGAATCGTGCAATTAATATTCAATATGAATTCGTGTTGGGTTGTATTTCTAGGCACCCCAAGAAGAAAAATAACTGTCCGCTAGCCCGTAGTGGCAACTTTATGATCTAACTTTAAAATATTTTTCAGATCAATGAAGCATTTGCCGCCCAAACTTTAGCGTGTGTTAAAGAGCTCGGTTTGGACCAGAACAAACTGAACGTCAACGGTGGGGCAATTGCCATGGGACACCCCGTGGGAGCTTCCGGAGCTAGGATCACTGCTCACTTAGCTCATGAACTAAGGTAATGGACTTGTGAATTATGATTTCTTAATGCGAGAAATTGATGGAGATTTAGTAACGGTAAGTTTTTTGACATCCGATATATATGTCATTGAGGTTTTGAACCCTGCTTATATGGTTAAATAACAAGCACAGACTATATTCAAATAGGGTAATTACATTTTTTATAAAATAAAAAATTAAACTGAAACCTACCTTTTTTATGGTATAGGCCAGTATAGTGGGTAAACGGACAGTACTATCAAGTGATTCGCACTTAATGATAGGTAATACCTCCAACCATGGAGGCCAGCAACTCGAGAGATAAGTGCGTTGAGTTCCTTTCCCACCAAATTTAGGAGGTCAGGTTTTCGATAATCCGTCACTCGGTGAAAAGCGAATTGTCTAACACCGATTTTCCATGGGGCCGTGCAGCACTCCGGTCGAGCTGGTCCATTTGTGTCGAAGTATAGCTCTCTCTCGAACAACATAGTCCATACTTTTACTTATTATAAATGTCAAAGTGAGTTTGTTACGCTGACCCACCACTAAACCGAATTTAAACTTATTTTCACCACATTATCAGCGAGTAACATAGGCCACTTTTTAACGCGTTAACTGACATACACGCGGGAGAAGCCCGTGACTGTAACCCATAGTAATTGTTAGCAGTAGGTTCATTTAAACTTAATCTAAGCTAGTACCTAAAATATAGATAGATAGATAAATACTTTATTTGTACACCAATGTTTTACAGACATTATACAGTAATTAACGACCGATGTAATGTACAAAGGGCGGCCTTATCGCTTAGTGCAATTTCTTCCAGGCAACCTTTGGATGGATTCATTTTGTAATGGTGATAGCTATACATAAATTAGAGAAGTAAATAAGGTCTTAACGTATAAAATATATTTTTTTATACATAAATACTACTAATCTATATTTATACATAAATACTATACATACATACGTTAATATATACATCCGCTAATTTTCAACTATTAGAGACAGATAATGCTCATATAGCATAGTCTTGAAGGTGGTTACGGATTGCGCACGTCTGATAGTAACCGGCAAGGCATTCCATAAACGTACAGCTTCTACGGAAAATGACTTTGTGTAGAAATTGGTAGAATGCCTTGGTATTTCCAATCTCAGGCTTTCAGAGGACCTCGGACATTTCATATGTGTGTCATGAAGGAACTTAAAGCGCGTTAAAATATATATGTATTGTTCTAAAATTGTATTTAATTAAATAATGTGCAGCTTGCACTTACTGTAAATAAGTTTGCAGTCAGTCGCACCAATTTCATTTTACAAAATTTACAGGAGGCGAGGACTCAAACGGGGTATCGGATCTGCGTGCATCGGTGGTGGTCAAGGAATAGCACTACTTATTGAAACTGTATAATATATTATCAGAATAACGACATCGAGTGCAGGATACTCTAGAATATACGTACCTACGTATGTCTGAACTGAAGTAGAGAGGTTTTGAACTAAATATGGTATTTTTCTTTGCTGTAACTTTGTAAATAATATAAAATATACTATTTTTATTTTTTTTACAATTCATGTTTTATTGATATTCCTTTCGTGATTTTTATCTAGAGAAGAGGCGGATTAACGACAGCGCCTTTTTGAAGCACCTTATTGACCTTAGTTACTTTGTCTCTTTGACTATCAGAATCAGTCAATCTACTTTACCACATCTAACCGCTCTGGATTACCTAGGTTAGGCTGACTCAGGGCGTAGTTACGCGGGGTCCGGATGTCAAACAGCAGTTCCCGGATCCCTCCTATCACAGGCGCAGAGTGGCACACCTTGTGGTTTTAGTCGGTCCGATTCCGAGACACCACCGCAAACCCCGGTAGGAGGACGGCCCGAGGGGGTATCCACGCGTAAAAAAAGGGCGTAGTTACGCGCGGCGTGGATTCGGATAGGACCTGAAATCACATGGTCCAAGTTTTCTCCAGAGTAGAGCGCCTAAGGCCGGCCGTCAGGGTGGTTTTTAATTGAAACACCACATATTCATACTGTACACATAACTTTTCCCCATGGAGCCGGGGATCCGAAGGGATTTTCCACGTGGCGTGTCTGCCTCTAGTTTGTATATAATATCATTGTTTGTAAATCAATTTTATAAATTAACGGCTCGGGCATTAACGCGACGGCGTAACGTGTATTAGGTATTAGTAACACATTGCCCCTTCCCACCTCTTAAAGTTAGCTAATCTGTATCTCATCTCATCATCATCAACAACAGCCTTTAATAGTCGACTGTTGAACATAGGCCTCTCCTTAGACAGAAGGTTTTGGCATACTATACCACGCTGGTCAGACGGGTTGGTATAGGGGTTTTGTTGCGCCTGAGGGCCGTGACCGAAGAGGCCGTGAGCTGTGGCGGCGTGCTGTTGGCGGTGTCATTGGACATCGCCAACGCATTCAATAGTCTGCCATTCAGCTGCATCAGGGAAGCACTCCACTATCATGGGGTGCCAAAGTACCTGAGGCGGCTGGTGGCAGACTATTTAGAGGAGCGTACCGTCGTGTACGAGGACCGAGAAGGTAATTTGAGGAGTCGGCCCATGTCGTGCGGTGTTCCACAGGGGTCTGTTCTTGGACCCCTCTTGTGGAACATAGGGTACGACTGGGCCCTTCGCGCCGATTTCCCCCCCGGGCTGGGTGTAATCTGTTACGCAGACGATACCCTCGTGACAGCCCGGGGGGCAAACTTCCAAGAGGCGGCGCGCCTGGCCACAGGGGGAGTCTCCCTGGTGGTCGGGCGCATTGAGGCGCTGGGCTTACGGGTGGCCCTAGATAAGACGGAGGCCCTGTTATTCCATGGGCCCCGTCGTGGTCCACCCCCTGGCGCCTCCATTGTGGTCAACTCGGTCCTCGTACCGGTTCGGGCCCAGATGAAATATCTGGGCCTGATCCTCGACGGGAGGTGGCTCTTCGACGAGCACTTCCGACAGCTTGCTCCAAAGCTGGTCGGCGCTGCGTCTGCCCTAGGGCGACTCTTGCCCAATATGGGTGGACCCAGCGTCGCGACAAGACGGCTGTACACGGGGGTTGTCCGGTCAATGGCACTGTACGGTGCACCGGTGTGGGCGGCGGCTCTGACCGCCCAGAATAGGGTACGCCTCTGGCGCCCTCAGAGGGTAATGGCGGTCAGAGCCATACGCGGTTACCGCACCGTTTCGACGGAGGTGGCATGCGCATTGGCCGGAACTCCCCCGTGGGATTTGGAGGCGGAAGTGCTCGCCGAAGTTTATCGGCGAGTGGCTGACTTCCGGGCGGAAGGCGGATTTCGCCCTCCGCCCGAGGATGTGCGCGAGTGGCGCGAAGCCGCTCGCCGAGCCACGATGGCTCGTTGGTCGTTCCGGCTGGAGACTCCACGCGCTGGCTTCGCCGCCGTGGAGGCTCTCCAGCCGGTCATCGCCGAGTGGGCAGGGCGGCAGCACGGGACCCTTTCCTTCCGACTGACGCAGGTGCTTTCCGGGCACGGTTGCTTCGGAAAGTACCTGCACACGGTCGCTAGGAGGGAACTGAGTCCCGCCTGCCACCACTGCGACTGCAGTGAGGACTCGGCCCAGCACACGCTGGCGGTCTGCCCCGCATGGGCGGCGCAGCGCCGGGCCCTCACTGCAGTCATCGGAGTGGATCTCTCGCTACCGGCCGTAGTACGCTCCATGGCCGGTAGCGACAGTTGTTTTACCGCGGTCGCAACCTTCTGCGAGGTAGTAATCTCGCGGAAGGAGGCGGCGGAGAGGGCCCGGGAGGACGACCTCCACTCGGACCCGATCCGCCGCCGGCGAACCGGGCGGCGGAGGCCCGGCTATCACAGCCTCATGCCGCCCTGAGTGTGGCCGCGGGTGGACGGGGTGGGTTTCCCCTCCACCCGCATTAGTTGGCCAGCCGCGAGGGGGCGGCGTCCGCGTGTGCCGGACGTCGCCTAAAGAGAAGGAAAATATATCGAGACGGAGCCTGCACCAGGAGCGGGCTGGCGCTAGGAGGGGTCCGGATGTCTTAACAACAGCTGTTCCCGGATCCCTCCTGTTACAGGCGCAGAGTGGCACACCGTGTGGTTTTAGTCGGTCCGAGTCCGACACACCACCCCGCCGCAAACCCCGGAGGGGTGACGGTCCGAGGGGATTTCCACACGTTAATAAAAAAAAAAAAAAAAGGGGTTTGTTTCAAGTTTTCCTTCTCTTCGCAGTACTCTTACGATACCCACGGGTTGAATAGGGGTGGTGACACTCCGTATTCTTAATCCGTCACCACACGGATCTAATATGTATCTAATCAGATATAAGTAGATATCGGATACAATGGAATAAAGTTAGTAACTATTTCTTATGCAGACCAACTATGATAATAAAATTTTATAATGAATAGTTTTACCTCTTAAAATTTAAGTGCCATTAAATAAACTGTAGGTATATATGCAGGTACATTTTGTAAACACACGCTATCTTGATATTTGTGGTATGAGTATGAGCGTAATAATTTTATCACTATAGGTTTATACACTTTGATAAGTACACAACTAGTTTCTTTAGTTTACAATTTAAAGTTTTGAACAAAACACGTTTCGCGCGCAATACTTGTGATATCTTATCTGTTCCAATATGGCGTCCCCTACAAAAGGTTAGTTTTGTTTTTAAATTACCTATGAATTGACTTTAGGATGGTATTATTAGGTATTTTATATTAAAATTAAAAGTGATAAGGATTGATCAAAATGGGATTAGGCTTATATAAAAACTTGAGCTATTATATAATCTAGTTACTGTTCAGATAAAATTGTGCAAAACAATTTGTTATTGTTTATTCTGTCGGTTATCAGCACGTACCTACATATCTATATTTGTGAATACCTACTATGAAGCTATCACATTTAATTTCCTCATGAATATGGTAATCTGTTGTCAAGAACTTAGGTAGAATAACCTTAATGGAAAGGTTTGAAGGTTATTTTTATTGTTTGTTGATTAAATTGTTGACGAAATTCAGTCAATATGATATTATAGATATGAATAGAGAAGATACAACTTACAGTTAGGTAAAAGTCTAGGTACCTTTGGGATTAAGTCAAAATGGTTTATCTCTTAACTTGATCGAAGGTGCCTAGTGTTTTAGCACCTCTTTTTGCGGGTAGGTGAGGATTGCTAAGTGGAAATCGTACCAATGGGGAAAGGACTCTTCCGAATCCGATGTACCTATTTCGTTGATAAACGGATGAAAGACCTCAACCTCAATTCGTCTTAGTATGAAGACGCTTGTCCGCAAATGGTCAGACAGGATAATTACATTTTTAAAGGTTTATTTCGTAGTATATCTATACCTTCTTCTTTAATGCATTGTGATCAGGTTAAAGTCTAACATAAACTTTTTTGCCGAGTTTTCTCACCTATCGGCTATCCGTGAAGGTTGGTTTACTTATATCACTTTGAATCAAATATACAACGGATATCTACTTTTGCCACAACAAAAATGGTATTAGACTTTAGTCACGGTACAATTATAATACAGTACTCCAACTTCATACAAACGGACGAAAAGCGAGCTATACCTACGCGCCTCGATCTCGGGGTGCGCTCGGGGCGCAGACAATCACGGCTGTACCGCAGTGTCGAACGGACGGTGTGTTGTTTTTTTTAACAATAACCGCGCGATTTTTTCTCTAAAAATCAGTTAATATGACGAGTAGGAAATATTGTGCTGCTTTTGGTTGTATGAATTCGTCAATAACGCATCCAGACATAAGTTTTTTTAAATTACCTGGAAACTCTGAAAGGTAAGACTATAAAATAATTTTACTTACTAGTAGGTAGGTACATAATGTGTGTCTTTTTAATGGATAAGTATTTCCTTTTATCTTACGAAAAAAAAGGTGGTTGGATTAATAAATAAAGCGAATAGAGTAACAGAAAGTTATTGAGACAAGTGAAATAGGTAGTTATATGCGGTTCTGAATGAATCATGATACGGTAGGTACCTACCTACTTACGCTTGTGTTAAAACTTCGGTGCATGTGTGTTTTGTTACTTTGCATAATTCAAAGTAAAGACGTGGTATTTTATTTTTGATAATATTTGTTTATTATCTGTGTGTATGAATAATACTAGAAAAAAATTTTTTACCGTCTGTGTGTCATTAGATAGTTTTCGAAATTTTCACAAAGTGTTTCTGCTGCTACTATAACAACATATACCACTAAAAACTGGTTTTATTTTCTCGGTATTAACAACAACAGCTAGACTCATATATAATATTTAGATGTTTGAGGGTTGTGATTTTAAAACATTCGTAGTCAGCTGTTCAGCTTTTTAATAATTAATTAATTGGTGACCAAAGAATTTTTGTTTTGAGTTGTAGGTAGGTACCTAATTTATAGAGACGTTAATAAGCTGAGATAAAAAGTTACTTACTCGTCAGCTGTTTCTTGCATTCTAGTTGAGTAGGTAGGTGTTGGAGTTTCTAAGGATTGGAGTTTTGTAACGCGTAAGGACAAAGCACATTTTTTTTATTCTATAGAAGGATTTTTAAACTATTGCATAGTTTTTATCGCGGGCTCTGAGCGCGGCGCGGCGCGGTGACCGAATCAAGAAATTCTCAAAACCTAACGAGAAATACCTGACACCACGCAGATTTTTTTCTTTAAAAAAAAAATGTTATGCAATAGCTTTACCGCGGCAGTCGCCGAGAGTGTCACATGTATTTTTTTTTTCAGACGTCTTCAATGGTTGCAACTGATCCGGCGAGATGATTTGGAAAACAAACCTAACTTTAGTTCCTACCAAGTTTGTGAAAAACATTTTAATTTGGAGGATGTATTACATTCATCAAATAGAAAACTTTTAAAAAAGAATGCCCTACCATTGTTGATGCTGCCAAGCTTAGCTAGTACTGATCCAGGAGTATCTCTAAAAGAAGATAAACAAACCCAAACTGCTCCGTTGGTAGGAAATGAAAATAGTATACAGACTGAAAATGCAACAAATGAAATCTTTGCTCCAACCTCAACGAGTCTCTCTAGCAACACTCCAAGAAAAAGAAAATTGAAACTTGAACTCCTCCAATGCAGAAAGAAAATAAAATAATTAAATCTACCAATCAAAAAACAACACGCATTTTTATTCTATTCAATATACAAAGTATTTCATTTATTTATATAAAAAGGATATTTACAATCACAAATCTAAATAGAAACAGAAAGTAGGCAAATATAATTAAAATGCTGGAGACGGGCAGCCCTAACGCATGTTTACGTACCGCGCGGCTGTAGGCATTTATGACTATCATGCGGCCGAGTTACACTACTGTATTATAATAGTACCGTGCTTTAGTGGTTACTTTACGCACACGCATGTAATTAGCCATCATAATTTTTAACCAGATAATACAATCATTGATTATCATCATTTTTTGAGAGTCGATCAGGCATCTATGGTACCCCCATAATGATTGAAGTATTGGTATAGGCTACAGCTGTTAACAACTTATTGAATATTAACATTGGTTTCCGAATATCCTAATGCTGTGAAACGTTTATGTTAATAATGTAGACGAAATCGAACAACATTTGTATAGAGCGCTCAAAGATCAATCACTAGTAGTATTCAAATTTCTCCTTTCAGCAATTTTTATAATTGGCGCAAAACGAACGCCATTTTGCAACTATGGAGGCCCACTTCGAGAACTGCCAGCATCTTATGCGTTTGCATCTGCAGCTAAGGACGCCATACAGACGGCCAAACTAGACTCTTCATACATCGATAACACTATCGTTGGAAATATAAATTTCGTGAGTTAAAATGGGAAATATTTCGTTTATAAATTTTGAAATTACAAATTTAACATTAAATAAAATTTCTGTTTCAGTTAAGCCAATGTGATGGTGGAAAAACGCCTAGATACTGCGGTATTTATTCAGGAGTACCCTTAAGCAGCCCCGCGTTAGGTGTCAACAAGGTTTGCGGTACTGGCCTACAGGCAATCATCACCAGTGCTGTGGTATATAACTTTACGCCTGCATAGGGACATTTAACTTGAGTCTAAGATAGCAAACAAGCATTGCGCAATGTTAGCGGTCACCTTACCATTTAAATACCTACATAGATAATGGAAGTAGTAATGGCAATTGATACGATTATAGTGAAATTACATATTTCTTAAATACCAGATGTTTCGACCGTTCTCTACAGGCCGTGGTCATAGATTTTAGATTGTAGATTTCCTCAATAAATTCAGATTGTCGGATCTTTTCTGTTCCCCTGACAAAGTGTATGCATAATTTAATGTTGACCAGTCGGTTAATTATGACATGAAAACGTAACACACAAAGCATTATAACAATTTTAGTCATAAAAACCGTACAAAAATTTAAGTTGTTCCTTATATTTTTAGGATATCTTAACAGGAATGTCAAAAATCTCTCTAACTGGCGGCACAGAGCTGATGTCTTCACTGCCTATGCTAGTAAGAAATGTCCGTTTTGGAACAGCCTTAGGCACAAATTATCTTTTTGAAGATCACATGAAGAAGTTGTTCCCTGACAGCTATACTGGTCTAACGATGCACAAAATGGCTGAGGAATTGGCGAAGAAGCACAACTTGACGAGAGAAGAAGTCGATGAATTTGCACTGCAGAGTCATTTTAAGTGGACTGTAGGTAAATGGATTAATTGGTTGTAAATAAATGACGGCATTTTATTATTATTATTTCACATCGACGGCGAGCGCGTTCGGCGTTGTGATTGGTAAAGATTTCAGAGCGGGCCGATCGAGTTGATGTGAAATAAACTCACACTAGGCTCTCAGTTTTCTTAATCTATTTAAGATATTATGAACGTTTGAACGCGCGAGTTTAAACACCTATTTTTTTTTTCAGCTCAAGCATCAAAAGTTTTTGAACAGGAATTGACAAGTTTGACTGTAACTTTAAAGAACAAAGAAATGGATGTGGACGAAGACCAGCTCCCGAAGCCTTCCTTAACGACAGAAGATTTAAGTCAACTGTCATCTCTGTTAGATGACGGGAATATAATAACTGCCGGCAATTCTTGTGTAAGTTTTCCCAAGAGACGGCACATCGTAGTATAGAATTGGGGTGCCGGACAGGCTATGGACCTGACAACTCCGGGTATGATTCAGTGTCAAAGTGAAGTGTCCCATCCCCTATTCATGCAGGGTGCGACATGTTAAGCCGGTTGCCATTTTAATGGCGGATTCAGGGATGGGAGGTCCCACTGGGCTTAGTCAAACTCGTACAATTTCAAGTAGGTAATCAAGTTTGATGCTTGTCGGGAGACTTGGCTATATATAAATGAACTCCCCTAATTTAAAAACTGGATCTGCTTTGGGACCGGATAGTATTCAGATAGTCTAAATTATATATATTACGCCGCCTCGTGTTCGATCCTGAACCAAATTTGAATCATTTAAACCACTTCACTGATTTTGGATGTACAAAATTAAGTCTTTCGAATTCACAAGTGATTCATATAATTTTATTTTTACAAACAAAATCATCTATATAAAAGTGAAATAGGTTCGAGTGCATGTGCTGTGGTCCAAATTGAAGAAGAATCTAAAGATTCCCTATCATTTTGGCAATTTATTACCAGCAAATGTTTTAATTGTTGAAGAGAACATCAATATATGTATTTCCAGCTCCCAGCTGATGGAGCAGCTGCCTTACTGATAGCAAGCGAAGGATCCTTATCTTCACATAACTTACGGCCTCTCGCCAGGGTTGCAGCCTGGACATGTGTGGGAGTAGACCCTCGAGAGACTGGCATTGCAGCTGTTCCTGCTGTTCGAAAACTGCTGGACGAGCAAAGACTGACAGTCGACGATATTGACTTGTTTGAGGTACTCTTCTTTTAACATACATCGATACTTATATTATACCTAAAAGTGAGTTCGTTTGTAACGCTTTTACGCCTAAACCAATAAACCGATTTTAAACATTCTTTCACCAATGGAAAGCTACATTATCAGCGAGTAACATAGGGTACTTTTTACAATAACGATAACCGACATACAGCCGCGGGCATAAGCTAGTACATAATATATATGTGTGTCTTCTTGCCCATTTAATTGGTTTAGGGAGTCAAGCATTTGACTAATATATCTGGAGCCAAATAGATCCTCCCTTAGTGCAAAAATTCTAATGCATAGGTAAATATGGTATCGGTGTGGTGACGGATTTAGAATACGGAGTATCACTACCCGTATTCATCACAACGCAGAACAACAGCACTGCAAAGAGAAGGAACACTTGAAACAAACCCTATACCAAACCGTATGGCCAAGCGTGGTATATTAGGCCAACAGACTGTTGATGATGATATAGTAAATATGTCTGCAGTGTCTATGGTTAAAGTGTTTTTTATCCGACTGAGTATGTATATTTCTTTAGCCTAAACGGCTTGATGGAATTTGGCGTTTGTGGTCTCTTTAGATTCGTCTCAATTGTGAACGTTACTAAAATAATATAATATAATAATATAAAAAATTAAAGTTAAGACTAAAAAGCTTAACAAAGAAATATACATACATAAACTGGAACCCTCCTTCTAGCACAATCACCCGACTGTGCTAGAACTAGAAAAAGTATTGAAAATATAACATTTATTTTATACTCATTTAACTTTGAAAAAACCTAGCTTCACAAGCGTCTTTGCTATCGTAACTTAAATAAAAAGTTACAATCTTATGGCTATGCTTATTTATTTATAATAACCACTCCTCAGATAAACGAGACTTTCGCCTCCCAAGCGCTGATCACCGCCAAACTCTTGAAAGTTGACCTCAGTAAAGTAAATGTCAATGGGGGGGCTTTAGCTCTTGGGCATCCTGTGTCGGCAACTGGCGCTAGGATGGCCGTACACCTAGTCCATGAACTTAGGTAAGTTTATCAGTTGAACTATAGTTTATTCGCCTTAAGAAAATAGTGACGCACGCATCTAATAAGCCCTGTCTTGACTGATAGGAACTTTCTTTGCAGGTGACTTTTTTATGGTACAAAGGGGTACAAACGAGCAGATGGGTCACCTGATGGTAAGTGACCACCGCGGCTCATGGACACCTGCAACTCAAGAGTCACAAATGTCGCTCTTTCAGTCCCTCACCACAGAAACCGGGGTAGGGGGAGGGTTTGGACTCCGATAACCTCACTCACTCGGTGAAAAACAATGAAATAACTCCGGTTAAGCTTGATCCATGACATCGTTTGGGAGAGTCATTCTATGGGCACGAAATACGTTGGGACTAATAGATTAAATTAATATTAGTGAGACATTTGTAGATGAAACTGATATTTGTTTTGCTGGTTACCAGATACCCGGGCAATCTTGAACCGGGCAATCTTTTGGTAGTTTTCTCTTCTTTTAGGGGAGTCAAGACCTATATTACCCCCCTTTTGGACTGCGCCTGTGTAAGAATATGATTCCCGTTCCGCTGCAAGCAGATCTGGCAATATATTGAGCAGTAGGAAAAACTATGAGCACTGCTGTTTAATTTATTTCACTAACCAACCAACCAACCAGCGGTTTCAGGATAGAATTGAGATGTCCCACTACTTAAAAATAAAATTTTGGTTATCTTATTTTGCAGACGCCGTAATTTACAACGAGCGATTGCAACGTCGAGTTGCGGTGGAGGACAAGGAATAGCAGTCTTACTTGAAAAAATGTAGCGTAATTTTATGTAAACTTATATACAAATGGACATAAGTACCTGAACGATAAACTATAATTTAGTTGCTAGTGACGGTCACCAACATAAAGTAATGATATTAATGGAGTAAATGTCATTTGCGAGATACAGGATTAATTAGCTAAAATGTACTTTGCACTCAATAGATGGCGTTAATGTAAATAAAACTCGAAATGTACATAAGTTATATTTTATTGTGTATACTAGATATTATAAGCAGTCAAATATTTTATTTACGTAATTATATTATAACCAATGAGTTCAGGAATGTTGGCAGTGCTATACTTGTGTTTAGTAATTCCATAAAACTATATAAACATTTCATATAAAGAACTTTTGGACATTATACATTTCGATAACTTGAATAAACAAAAAATACAATTATTAGATTTTTTTTACTTAAATATTAAGTTTATTGGTCTAGTTTATTTTTGAGAATTACTTATACTATGAATGAACCTAAAACTACACGTACCTAAATGACAGGAGCATTAAGTCTCTGACTTAAGAAAAGGCAAGAGAAAGTCAAGGCTACCGGTTTTAATCTCATTTAAATATTGTTTATTTAGGATATTTTGAAGCAAATACAAAAGGAATTCCTCTTTTACTGTTAACTTTTAAATAATTATTAGGTTGAGCTAGTCACTGCTAGTCTATTTTTGTTTAAGTGAGATGCAATATTCAGTGGAATTAGATTAGTTTGTGGTTACATACATAATATATTTATGAACAGACTTTAATATACAAATGTATATACTTAACTAGCATTTAACTTATTACAATCATTTTATAAGATTACAATCTTAATATATTTTTAAATACAATTATAATCTTATAATTATAACCTGTACTATGTGAGTGTTTCTCCTTTGGTTACCTGAAAAGAAATAAACCAAATTAACATGTTTATATTTTGTTATATTATTTTACACTTAAGGCCTATAGTCCATCAACGTCGTGCGCGACCGTCCTGCGGGGTGACAGACGGTGGCGGGGACGAGGTACTCAAGATGTCAGCGGGTAGCGGGTGGTGTAGCGGGGTAGGGAATCGTGAGTAGCCGTGTGCTAGAATGACGCGCTACCTCGCCCCCGCCACTGTCTGTCACCCCGCGGGACGGTCGCGCACGAGATTGTCGGGTTATAGCTAGACTGCTGACGGAGTGGAACGGCGACGCGGCGTGAGCGGGTTATAATGTAGTAGTTAACATAGAGGATAGCACGAAGAAACGTCACATTTAGCGCGCGGAAGGTACATTTCAAACGCTCACGACGAATCTCCGTTCCGTTTCTTCCACTGTCTGTCTGAACCTTTAATCTTTTAAATTAAAGAAAAGCTATCCTAACAAACCTAAATAGTGCATCTTTATATTATATAAAATGTTATCTATTATTAAGTAAATATATATACAACGCACAGGTGTACAGAGAATTAGCATTATAATTCACTGTGGCAGTGCTGCTAACTTCTGGTGGAGGAGAGTTCCCTATTACTAGTTTTATTTACATAAATAAGAAAAAAACGTAAAATTGAATTGACTTTTAAGAATCTGTGACAGTTCAATAAAAAAACTATTTGGAAATAAAGAAAAAATAATTTTAATCAAAAGAATTAGTAGTAACTGAGTATATTAGAATTTCTAATAAAACTAAGCCAAGAATTCCTAAAGTAGGATAGAGTGCATTTCATTTTCCATTTAGTTTACAGTTTGAGTTTCTATTAGGTCTTTACCTATGAAATTGCCGTTTTGTATGCGATAAGTGAAAGTACTTATTTTTTCAAACTTTTTTTATTTCTGTTATTCGAAGTAATCACCCATACAATCGACGCATCTTTGCCAACGCATTGGCAGTTTATTGATGCCCTTCTAATAAAAATCAGCTGGACGGGAGGCAATTTCATAGGTAAAGATCTATTATTAGTGCAGAGGTACAACTCACTGTGCTTAAGGATTCTGCTAAAAAAACACTATGTCAATCATAGTGGTACAGTTACTTCAGTTTTTTTTTCTGAAAGGACAAGCTCAGTCACAGCAGCTTTAGGCGGTGATATGTGGCGATAAGTGAGCTAGTTTTCTGGTGCAGTATAAAGAATGTATTACAATTGTGTTTTAAATTATCAGAGACATACATTTATTACTCCAATAAGTAGTTTTCTTTATTTCTAATTTGTGGTATATGAGGACACCACCCATAGACACCTTTTCTTTTTTTTTTTTTTTTTTTTTTTTTTTTTTTTTTTCCTTGCGGACATCCCCTCGGATACCACCTGTCGGTGGCATGTCAGACTCGAACCGACTAAAACCGCACGCCGTCGCCGGGTACTAATAGCCGGGGAACCAGGTATACCCTAGAAAACCCATAGACACCTGCAACTTAGAGGTCACAATCACAAGAATGTTGCTGCGTTTATGTCATATGGGGGGGTTAGACTCGGGTAACTCATCGGTAAAAAGAAAAAAAACTGAATTCTTGTTATAAATTATACTAAGGGAAGTAGACTTAATCTATAAAGGTTTTCAGTATAGATGGAACTCTTCACATCTAACGACATTGAAGTTTAGAAATTGTGCGTTTAACTGTAAACAAATAACACTACACTAGCAAACAACTAACATTTATCACAATATATTTCTTACTTCTTTTCTCCCTTCCACCTTAGCAGTCTATAGAACAGAAACCATATTGAATATTATAAAATTAAAAGTATTAACTGTTGAATTATTAAAATAATTCTTCTAATCCGCAGCTGTCTTTTATTCTTAAAACTTGATTAGATTATTTAATTTCGTTTTATAAATAAAGTATTATATAAGCAACAGTATGCTGATGAGTACAGGAGTGGACAAGTGGACATCTGCAACTCAACAATTCTGTTGTCTGCCTTTGAGAGCCAGAGTTCATTCACATAATTTAGTAACTTCACTGAGTATGTTTTAATAAGGCCATGATATTAGTCTGGTAAAGCAGGCAGGCCCCTACATGCCAAACTATGGTATTTAGTTCACAAACAATTTATATATATTTTAATGTTTATGAATTTAGCTGTGGGTATGTTATGATGTGATTTTTTTTAAACTGCAAATGTAAGTAATATTGTAACCTAAGGTTTACTTTGTTATAATTTAAAAATATCTTAAAGTTAGTTCAACTTACACAAGCTTCCAAATAATCAATTTTTCTCTCCAATGATGTTAGTTTTTCATTTAGTGTGGCAAGACGAGATCTGCAGGACATATCTAAAACAAGATATAAGTTTTTACAGTAATGTAGTCAGTCGCAGATTAACACCTATGTATAAAATGCCTGTGCATAGGGGAGGTCCTTAAACAAAAATATTGAAAAAAATTCTAATAAATCAAATCAATTTCAATTGACACTACAACTTTAGAACATAGGGGCGACCCATTTCTTAATCTGCCACTGCATGTAGTAAAGTTTTAAAAAAGGAACTTTAAGAACTAGACTGGGTATTAGGAAAACTAACTATTAGGAAATAGACTGGGTACCGTAAGTAGTAGTTTGAACATGTTAGGGTAGTGCTTCTAAATGGAAATAGCTACTGAGAGTATGTCTGACCCTTTTAATCAAATTTTATTACCTTAAAGGAAAGAATGGGGTACAGATTTATTCTGACCAGTACCTAGAAGGGTTAGAAGAGTTAGACAACACCAATATTTTAGGGCTGGTTTTTTGCTAGAAAGTTGGCATAACAAAAGATCATTTCCATAACATAAAGGTAATTATCATAATGGCTATATAACAAATACTAGTGCTATAAACTGACTAGGGTAAACCGGAGATCACAAGTTACAGATTTAAGAAAAATAGTGACCATTGAAAACATCTATACAAAACTTACCAAATGAGTTCAAGAAATCTGTGATCTTCTTTATGCTGCCAGTTATTACTTCAATGTATTCTCTGTTCGCCCAGTCTTGTTGGATTTGTTTTTGAATAGTTTCTCTAGGCGGGGTCGACATTTTTAGTTCTATTTTTCTTCTTTAAGAAATACAAAAAATGTACTCTATTTTATTATGTCAAATAGGCATTAACTCTAAAAAAAAACAATAATTCTAAGCATAGCATCGGCACGGCAGATTTACTTGTACATTTCATTTCATAATGCTATACATTTTAACAATTGTTACATTTGAGTACATGGAACGCATCTTTTATCATTTCGAATTTGACATAGCTTTTACTTTCGTCTGTAGACTTATTAGTTTGAATATTTCATTTTGCCAACCAAAAATTTAGCAAAAAAGCTAGAAATTGGAGTATAATAAAAAGAATAGGTAATAAGGGAAGGCAATATGGTTGGAAAGAATAATTAATAGGATTTTTTCATTTGACTAATGTTTATTTTTTTATGCTTGTGTGGAAATGTTGAAATTGTTGTAAATATTTTAATTGTATTATAATATATTTCTTTTTTACTGTAAGCTTATATTTTACAACAAAAAGCGCAATTAGAAAGGAAAAAAAGAAAAGATACAAGCCAGAGATAGGAAATAAGAAGAGAGGTTTAAACTGACTGCACGGATGGCGTAGTGGTTTAAGCGGTCGCCACGCCGCTTCCTACTACGCCGAGTGTTGTGGGTTCAAACCCCACATGGGACGATGCACTTTGTATGATCCACTGACCACCACCATCTGAGTCTGGGTGTTCTTTCATGTATGTTTGTATAGTCCCAGTGCACAAGATATATTCTATGTATGTATGATATGTTTAAAAAAACAATTTTTGTACCATTATGTATTTCTGTAACCAATTATTAAATACTATCTGACCCGCGCAACTTCGTCTGCGTCTCTCAATAGTAATAAATTTTCTCCGTTTTTGAAACATTCTTCATTGGTGCTCCGCTCCTATTGGTCTTAGCGTGATGATATATAGCCTATAGCCTTCCTCGATAAATGGGCTATCTAACACTGAAACAATTTTTCAAATCGGACCAGTAGTTCCTGAGATTAGCGCGTTCAAACAAACAAACAAACTCTTCAGCTTTATAATATTAGTATAGATACTATTACCAAAGTAAAATCTGTAAAATTTATATAGCAGAGACCAATGAGACCATAAATCGGGCTGTTAACTTAGAGATTACAGGCAACGAGAGAGATGGATGCCCGATAGTTTTCTCTGTCTCTGTTTAGCTTTCTATTTACTTAAGTTGCGATTGACTACTTATTAACCCCTCTTATTCCCTTGTCAACCACAGAATCGGACTAGAAAGAGATAGAGGCATCTATCTATTATCCATATCTCTTGTTGCCTACATTGCAAGATTGGGGCTGTTGTTCACTCTATGCTTTTTTTCTATAGCTGTCAATGAGTTAGACATTTCTTTATCTTAGGACTAAATGTGTTTGTCAAAAATATCCAGCTGTTTGCTATTGCTACCGGCTGGATAAAACTAGATCAGATTACAATTTTGATTTCCTAGCCGAATTGATGATAAAATGGATGAAGTTGAATACAAATTAAACACTAATAATAGTGTTTTGATCGTTAATGCTATCGATAAGTTAATATCTACAATAAAATCAAAGTTTAAACCGACTGAACGGCAAAGATTCGTCAATGAGAATGAAGAGTTGAAGTTTTTGAGAGAAAAGTGTTCATCAAAAGAGGCCAGAGTCAGCTTGACTGCATGTCAAGGTCTACTAGCTCTGGTGGAGCTTGGTGTGCTCGAGATAGCGCATACTATGTCGACTGTAGTTACTTTATTACCGAGTGCACAGTAAGTATTTTGTACCATTTACTAACCTTACTTAAAGTTTTGTGAGATTAAAAAGAATATGTAAAGGAAGAGAGAGACTAGAGAATACACACTGCCTACCCGGTAAGCCTCATATAGTTTAGTTACAACTTTTTAGAAAGTAAAAAGTGGCATTGCCAGTTCTGTAACCAACAACTTACTAGAACTTATTCAAGATGATCTTAAAGTAAAAAAATGTGATTTAAGCTTTTTAAGTAAAGCACCTTTTTGGCTTAACACCATTGAACCCTTTGCATGTTTAAAAAAAAAACATATGTATGAAGTTATTAATATATTTTGTGCTATTTATTTGTTTTAAAATTAAATCATGATGTAAACCATGATTTAATTTCAATAATGCTAACTTTTATTATTTATAATTACATCCCTAATTACTGGTAATAATTGGATATTTATTTAATTTAGAGTTTAGCAGACTTTAATTACAACTTCTCAAGGGATTCTTTATTCAACAGTATTATAGTAACTTATACTTATATATACCAACCCGTCTGGCCAGCGTGGTATAGTAGGCCAAAACCTCCTTTCTAAGGAGAGGCCTATATCCAGCAGTGGACTAAAAGCTGTTGATAACTTAATATATATAAAATGAAATGAAATGATTATGAAATGAAATGAAATTTATGATGAAATGATACTTGAAATAAAATATTATTTATGATAATACGAATAAATTTTCATGATGTTAAAAGCAACTACTCGGCAATAATATCTACAATGGCTGGTCTACTAATCCTGGACTTAAAGGCACGCTTGGTCCCCGGCAAGCAGTACAAGTGTCAGTTCACATTGAAGTCTCCGCAGCATCCTTTTATCACAGTGTTAGAGAAAAACAAGGGAGCCGAAGATGATGTTATGGCTCAGATGCATGCTCTATGCACTCATCCTGATTATATGTAAGTCTGGATAAAGAAAATGTTATATGCATGCACTGTAATTATCACAGCAATGTAAGTTATGCCTGTTCAGGGAGTCAGAGATGTTTTGTTCACTGGATGTTAACAAAATCGAAGTTGTAAACACTATATATTATATTGGCCGATGGGCCTGTTGCTCTAGTGGTTAGTGCCCCTGACTGCTAAGTGCGAGGTCGTGGGTTTGATTCCCACCCAGGACAAATATTGTGTGGTGAGCATGATCATTTGTTCTGTGTCTGGGTGTAATTTATCTATAATATGTATGTATTTAAAAATATATAGAAGTATGTTTATTAGCAGTCTGGTCACCATAGCACAGGCTCTGCCTAATTTGGGATCAGACAGTGTGAGATGTGTGAGGTATATTATTATTATTTAAATAAAAAAATCAATTTCGGAATGAACAAATGATGGTAGTCTAATAAGCTAAACCAAGTTTTTAAATTATAAATAAGCACATTCTTAATTGAGTAAACTAAAATTACTCAAAAATGGTCTATCCACTAAGGAGCCACTGATACCACATCCTGTACTTGCATTGGGTGTTAAAAGTGATCCATATGCTTGCAAAGCTGTATATATTTGCATGTATTTTTATACATGCTTACATGACGTACATGCTGCATTAGTTGACAGACCATACGTTGTAAGGATTTGTTCGTTAAAAATTACCAATTGCATTTGTGGTAGAAATTCATAGAACTATGTACTAATTCTTCCACATTTATTCCAGAGTATCATCAAACAGCCTGGAACTACTCCGTCCTTTATTCCTGTGGCTAACCTGCAATCCCCAAAGGGACTGTGGTATCAGACCATGGCAGCTGCTACTTAGCCTGCCTCAGTCAACTGCTCAGTCGTCACTGCTGCTTGCCTGCCTTAGCTGCCAACAGGTGAACTCTTCAAATCGTTTATATTCATAATGTTGACACGTTTTCATCATAATTGTTTTCGTGCACTTCTGGCAATTTTGTTTGGGTTCAGCCTAAGGTGTCAGTGAAAAGGGATTCTCTAGTTTCTGCTATAGTTGGCGGCCAGCCTGACATGAACTATCTTCATGGATATAATTATTTTCATTTGGCACAAAATAAATTGACGTAGGAAAAATGAATTGGTTTAAAGGATACCCGCTAGTCAAGTCTTGAATAGGATATGGGACTGAGACGATCCAATACGTGTATAATCAAGTGACCACATAATATAAATGTGCCCATATATGTTATAACCTATAAAATTTGCTACAAAACTAAGGCTGTACCTGGAGTACTTACACATAACAGCTTTTTTTATGGCTCTGTCATTTGAATATGCTCACAAAGTTTAAATATAAGACACTTTTGGACGTATATTGGCCAGATAATTGTGGATTTCTTTTGCTTGACACTGGTTTTCTGTGAGGCCATATTGCTCTGGTCGTGCCGGCCCCTATATGTCCTGTTACAAACTAAGAAAATAAATCTTGAAAGTGATTTTTAACCTACTTTTAATAGCAATATCAAATAAAATAAAAAAATTGTACGAAACACACAGATTCGCACCCCAGCGCTGATAGAGCGTTCCTACTCGGCGTATTGCGCTGTGACCGAAGCGGCGATATATCAACGACATCGGGATCACGTCATGGCCCTTTTGCCAATGCTCGCCAGAATATCAACAGAGCTTGTGAGACATGGGTACGTAATAATATACCTCAGAAGTTTGATCGGCGCTCCAAAATGCAGCCACTTAATTCTATTATACGTATAGCTCAGGATTAAGAAAGGTTTCAATAAAAAATAAAAATCTTTCCATTCGTTTAGGAGATGTAATGTCAAGATAATCAGCTACAATAATTTACATTACACATTAACACCCGTCCCCTTTGTGTCATGTGTTAAAAATACGTTCATCATCAGCCTATCGTAGTCCACTGCTGGACATAGGCTTATCCCAATGCACGCCACTTAGATCGTTTTTTTTTTTTTATAGGCTATTGATGAAGGGGCAAACGAGCAGATGGGTCACCTGATGGTAAGTAATTACCGCCGCCCATGGACACCTGCAACTCAAAAGTCACAAATGCGTTGCTCGAGTCAGCGAGGGGATTTGGGCTTCGGTAACCTTATTCACTCAGTGAAAGGCAACGAAAGAATTTCTGTGAGGCCGTAGTATCACTCCGGTGGAGCCGGCCCGCTCGTGCCTAAGCATGGCTCTCCCACGGTAAAAAACATACAACTGCAGTCGATTGAAACACACCAGAACTATGTTTAAATAGTTTATAGTTTTCCGCCGTTAAGTTTTGAAATTAGCTTTTGGTTTTTGCAGCCGCGACCCTCGTTCGTGCTACAGTCTGATAGAACGCTGTTTCGCACTGGACGCGCCTGAACTCAGAACTGTCGCTGGGATCACACTCATGTTGCTTGCTGAGAACCTACCTGATACATCAGCCTTGTATCTTCACGAGCTGTTCAATTTGTGTGAGTCAGGTTTTATGTCGAAGAAATTGTTTTAGTCGTCATGCTTGAGAACATATTAGCATAGCATATGTTCTAGAACATGGAGGTTAAGAAAAAAGACAGTGGCACTCCGGGAGTGACGACAGAAGTTAAAACTTAAAATTGTTTGATTTTAACTTTTTTTTGTTTTTTTTTTATTTGAAAAGTTGTACGCATATACACAATATATGTTTATATTATATATAGCTAAATTATCAATGTATTTCAACTCAAACTCAACTCTTATGTAAACGGGGCCAATATATGTAGATACTTAAATACAGAGGTGTCGGTAACGGTAACATTGTAGCGAATCCAATGGTTTTTCTGAAAAAATGTTTTGTTTGTTGTTCAAAACGCTCAACGCGCCTAGAGAAGTTTTCACTTCAAAATTTTTGAGATTACCCCTGGTTCCCTGGCCATTGGTAAATGAAACCGCGTGCTGATTAAGTCGGTTCGAGTCCGACATAACTACTCTGCAGGTCGTCTGGTATCCGAGGGCCCGAAGAAAAGGAACACACTAAAAGTTATTTAACGGTATTTATTTATTTATTACAGACACGCCAACAGCATACGTATACAACATTGTTCAAAATACACTTCAAAATAAAGGATAGTTCCTATATGTAGACCAATTAAAGGCATGCAGAGTATACATCACTATACAGACACACATTACAAACAAACAACTACACGGATGAGGTAGTGGTTTAAGCGGTCGCCACGCCGAGTGTTGTGGGTTCAAAACCCACATGGGACGACACTTTGTGTGATCCACAAACTGTTGTTCTGAGTCTGGGTGTTCTTTGTGTCCGTTTCATGTATGTTTGTAAAGTCCCTCGCGACACAGGATATACTCCTAATGCGAGAGTTGTCTTTTTTAAAGAGAGTTGTAGGTTCAAACCCCACATGGGACGACACTTTGTGTGATCCACAAATTGTTGTTCTGAGTCTGTGTGTTCTTTGTGTCCATTTAATGTATGTTTGTAAAGTCCCCCGCGACACAGGGTACATTCCTAACGCGGAATTTGTCTTTAAAAAAAAAAAAAACAAATTACAAGTGATTGGTTTGACACTTTTTACATATATTTCTTTATTTTCAGGTCTCAATATAATCAGCAAATACGAATATCCCGCAATATGTCTAAACAGTTTCGTAGCTCTCTCGCTACAGTGGCTCCACCTACCTTCATACCTCACATCATCAGCTCTCAAAGTAGCCTCCAAGATCCTGGACACATACCAAGACAACTATAAAGATGATCTGCGCCTCAACACACCAAACTTGAAGGCTAACAAAACATTCCAGGCATTATTGTACACTGACGGTCATTTATCCATAGTATTCAAATTAAACCAGAACTGGGAACGAATGAGAGATGAACCGGACATATTGAAGAGTTGGTTGGATATTATTGAGTCAGTTAACGGTGACATTCAACTAGAATTAGTACCGTATCTTCTGGGAATGATATTGGAGAAGCGTTCAGAGAGTTGGTATGAAGAAATAGTGTTGAAAGTGTTAAGAATTGTAGTGAATTTAGTGAGTTTTAAGAAGGAAATTTCCGTGCAGCTGTTGCCCCTGTTAGTGTATAAGATTGGAAAGGAAAAGTCTCCAGCTGTGAGGCTCGAATGTTTGAGGGCTTTACCGTTAATGGCGAGGACTAAGGTAAGTAACTTTTGAATTTTTATGATCATGATTGTAGATAGGCCAGTGTAACGTGGTCCTTCGAACCGGAGGGTGGCTCGAAGGACCATACTTGGAGATGTATATTCCTCTTAGTGTATTTTAAACAGGAACAGACCTGTAAGTAAATTATTAATATATCAAATCCGCTTTGCAGGAAAATGTACCAACTATTGTGTCCGTGCTGAACAAATTGAAAGCCAACAAGGGAGTACCTACATCACTTCTCATCATGCTGTACACAAGTTTGGCTGAAACGCAGGTTCGCTGAAGTTTGAATTATATGCTAAATTCACGTGAAAATGGAATGAATTTATCTCAAGCTACACCAGTATATAAGTTTATGTACAAGTATAACGCACCTTTATTCATAAACTGAATTAACTTAGAATTTCAATATTGTGGGAAATCGCATTTAAAGTTTGACATTCATGTACATGCGAGTTCGTCAAAAAGAGAACGACGATCTCTTATCTTTGCCATTTTCATGGTATCGAGTCGGCTGTTAGATTGTTCGTGTTCTACTGATGAAGTTGATTTGGTATTTGTTGAAAACTCGAAAAACGTAAATTTTGAATTAATTCAGTTTATTATTAAAGGTGCGATAAGTCGATACAGTGGCAGTTTTTTTAAGTGATAACTTCTTTAGTCGCTTTGGGCATTTTTGAAAAACAAACAAAATAATGTATTTTATGGTTTAACAAAAAACATATTTTTTGAGATGGGAAAAAACCATTGAACACTCGACACTGTTACCGTTACCGACACCACTATATACATATAAGTATGTATATAAGTTTTTACTTCTGTCGGCACTACCGGAGTGCCCCTTTTTTTTTTAAGATATAGGAGGAAACAAGTAGGCAGATCACCTGACGGTAAGTGACTATCGCCGCTCATGGAAACCTGTAACTAAAGAGGCACAAGTGCGTGCGTGAGCCCGCCCACCCCTTAAGGAGATCAGGCGAGGAGGGGGGGGGGTTTCCGCTAACCTCACTCTCTCGGTGAAAAACCACTGAAGAAATGTTAAACACCGATTTTCTGTGAGGTCGTGGTGTTACTCCGATCTGGCCGGCTCTTTTGTGCCCAAGTATGGCTCTCCTGTCCGTGTGGTGACGGATTAAGAATACGGAGTGCCACGACCCCTATTCATCCCGTGGGTGTCGTAAGAGCCGATTAAGGGTACAAACTGCGCAGGACAACAGCACTGCAAAGAGAAGAAAAACTTGAAACAAACCCTAAACCAACTCTTCTGGCCAGCGCGGTATAGTAGCCCAAAACCTTCTTTCTAAGGAGAGACCTATGTCCAGCAGTGGACTATTACAGACTGGTGATTTGATGGGTAATCATGCTCCGGAAACTCAGAATGGTATATCTTACCTATACCTGGTTAGGACTGGCTGTTGCCTTTTCTTTTTTTTTTCCGGAAATCCCCTCGGATACCACCTATCGGTGGCATGTCGGACTCGAACCGACTAAAACCGCACGCCGTCTCGGGTACTAATAGCCGGGGAACCAGGTATACCCTAGAAAGGAAGTCCCTGGTGCCGGACTGGCTGTTGCCTGTAAGTTAGTCGTCCTTTAACCTATTTCTAATTATTATTATTATTAATCGTAAATAGGTGAGGTGTTTCCCTTATCTACAAGAGCTATTAGTGGAAGCGGGCACAGTAAGAGCTGATGAGCTGAAGTGGGAACTGGACATAGCAAAGGCCATAGCGGTCAGAAGAATTTGTGAAATAAGGTATGTTAAAACATTATTACATACATCATAAACTCATTGTGATTGGTACATTACACGTACATTTGTTGTAGTGGGTTTGATTCCCACCCAGGAGAAATAATTGTGTGACGAGCACGGTCATTTGTTCTGTGTCTGGATGTAATTTATCTAAAATATGAATGTGTTTGACTGCATGGACGGTGTAGTGGTTTAAGTGGTCACCTTGCTGCTTTCCACTGTGCTGAGTGATGTGGGTTCGATACTCGCATGGGATAACACTTTACGTGATTCACAAATTGTTGTTCTGAGTGTGGGTGTTCTTTGTGTCCGTTTCATGTATGTTTGTAAAGTCCCCCGCGACACAGGATATATTGCTACTGCGGGAGTTATCTTTTTTTAAAGAAAAAAAATATATATTATTGTAAACGGTCCATTATTACATTTATTGTAATGAGTTTGATTCCCATCCAGGAGAAATAATTGTGTCATGAGCACTGGGTATGGTATTTGTATGTATTTACAAAAAAAAGTTTAAATGTATTTAAATCAGTTGTCAAGTAGCCATAGACAAGCTCTGTTTAGTTTGGGACTAGATGGCGTTGTGTGAATGTGGTAGATTATTGTTATTATTTATTCTGTGTCGGGGTGTAATTTATCTATATCTATACAAATAAATAAAATTGAAGTGTCTGTTTGTAATGTCAAAATAATAAGTTATTTTTATACTCGCATGGTTATTTGCACGATACCTATGCCTAAAATCTTTAATTACCTATGCCTAAAAAGTTTTTTTTTAGTCTGTCTGTCTGTTTGTTCCGGATAATCTTCTAAATGGCTGGATTGGTTTTAATAATATTTTACTACCAGGTAGCGTTCTATATAAGGAGTAACTAAGGCTATTTTTCCTTTAAAAAATAGCCCAATAATAAATAAAAAAAAAAATTGCCCGGTTCAGGAATCAAACCTACTAAGGCAGCGCGTTTCAAATTCCACGCGAATGAATTCGCGGGTACCAGCTAGTCTATAATATGTATGTATCTAGAAATATATAAGTATGTTTATCAGCCGTCTGGTTACCGTAGTACAGGCTGTGTTTAGTTTGGGATCAGACGGCGGCGTGTGTGAGGTTATTATTCTTATATTATTACTAGCTGTAGCTACCTTACCTACCTAAAACAAACAAAAGACGATTCCGATGCCCCGTACCTAAGGTTCAATCCAGTTTTGCCCAGCGGGACTATGATTACTTGGCACCGAGTTTATATAACCGACTATACACCAAAAGCTCTGAGAAATTAAGTAGACATAAGTTTAAGGCATACTTACTGGCTAAACTCAAGGGTATGGACTATGACCAAATTGAATCCCTTCTGCGCAACCAGTTTAAATAAGCGTGAAAGCTAAAAACATCGGTTACGCATAAATCCACCCACACACACACACCACTGGCACAAAGATACAGACACACACACACTCACATATAAACACACATACACACACACACACACACACACACGCTGACATATATACGTATGTCCACAAGTACATTCCATTATCATGATTTATAAATGATTTATAACTTATATTGTAAAACCATTGTACCTCTAATTAAGGAAGGCACTGACTCCTAAGATACAGGTTAATCAACCTAGTTTAGGAGAAAGAGCACCTATCAAAATGTAACTTTGATGGTTCAATAAACTTGTTTGTTTGTTAAAACTTGTTTGTAGCTGTCGCGGAAAACAGATGAAAGCAATCCTTAAAGCAAGTTGTGAATCGTGTCAAAATTTGAGAGCAATCGAAGCAGAACTTTTAGAGTTTGTGAAGCATATACAAACCAATTTAACATTTATATATATACTAGCTGATCCCGCAACTTCGTCTGCTTCTGCCAAAATAAATATTTTTCATTGATACTCAATGCCTATATCTTTCCTCGATAAAAGGGCTATCCATAATTTTTCAATTCGAACTAGTAATTCTTAAGATTACCTCGAACATACGAACTCACAAACTTTACCTCTTTATAATATTCGTATAGATCACAGTCTTCTGTCTCATTCACTCACTCACTTTTCATATTAGGAGATTTAAGAAATAACAATTTGATTTAAAAAAAAATCTCAAAAAGTGCAAAGTACACAAAAAAAAATTGAATTATCCAATTTAGTGAAATCGATCGAAAGTTATGCTTTTCATTTAGCGCCACCTAGTTGTACTTAAGTTACTTTACTGTACCAAAATGCTAATGTACTTTACTCATGTGTGTAATGGTATGAAATAGTTTGTATAGATGTCGCTGTAATCAGTTTTATTGTGAAAATCTAGGAAAATAAATAATTCTTTTGTCTATATATGTATGTAATATTAAATAATGGTGTATTTCTATAAATAACAGATAATATCAAAAGTATCATAAACAATTTTTTTTTAGAGTTTGCCATCTAAATATAGATATCAATTTTGACGCGACCTTCTGGAGGCCGTATCCTTGATTCGAGGCCGCTTGTCCTCAAACGAGGTTACACCAAGGCGTACTCCAAGGTCAGCCGTGACCTTGGCATTGACTTTTAAGGCCGAAACCTTGTGTCGAAGGTCGCTAATCTCTGTTGTCATTCATTATTATGTAATTGAATGATCCAATTATAGCTTTTATAAGTATCACATGTTTTATCTGAGATTGTTTGTGTTTTATTTGTATTATATTTTTTACAAGCGACGGTATCGCACGGATGCAATGTAGATACTAATGTGGTGTCAATGTAGAGTAATCAATTTTATTATTATGATTACTACAGGATATCATCATCATCAACAGTTTTTACTAGTCCACTATTGGACCAGATCATCAACAGCCTTTACTAGTCCACTGCTGGACATAGGCCTCTCTTTAGAAAGGAGGTTTGGGTCTACTATACCACGCCGGCCAAACAGGTTGGTATAGGGTTTGTTTCAAGTTTTCTTTCTCTTTGCAGTGCTGTAGTTTGCTCCCTTAGTCGGCTCTTACGACACCCACGGGATGAATTGGGGTAGTGACACTGTGTATTCTTAATCCCCCACCACACGGATAGGATATCTTTATATACAATATTTATAGGCACGCTCCAAGCCTGCCACCGGAACGGATATGCGGCCTAACAGCAACTCTGTCCCCGGATTATTTATCTCCTACATTTTCTAAGATATTCATTTTAATGATATCCTGGAAAAGGCAATTTTGATCTACATTAAATGCATAACTAATCTAACGTATTTAATTGGACAAGGAATAACACCGTATTGTTTAAAATAGTTTGTAAATAATCCATTTTTTTTATAATACGTAAAAGATAAAAATGGTTACTGTGCGTTATTCTTAGGATATAGACATATTATGATACCATTGCTTTTTTGTAGATCTTTTAAGATATACAATTCCGTAGTACATTACTTTAATCTATCTTGTAAGGTTTAGCTGGCGTTTGCAATGTAAGCACACAAAAACATGTCTTTTACGACATCACAATAGAAATCTTTGGAATTCTCGGATTTTCTGTACTTGTTATTATGGATGTATTATACATATTAACCTTTCTATTAAATAAATCTCTCTATTGGTGAAAACCGTATTAAAATCCGTTGCGTAGTTTGAAAGATCTAAGCGTACAAGAACGAAAAGAGACTTCATTTTATACCAAGTAAAGATACATTTTCAACTATGTAGAGCATCGAGTCATGGTCTGGAGCTGGTCTCTGTGATCTCCTCGATCCTCAACCGCTGCGGAGACAAGAGCGGCGCGGTGGCCACGTGCGTGTGCCTCGACAGTCTGCGCCTGCTGTGGAAGGGATCTGCCCTTGCTCCCCCCAGTACTTGGAAAGCGCTGGAACCTAAATTGGGCAGAGATCATAGACCTAGTGTTCAAATTAAGTGAGTAAATGGATATTTTACTATATGTTGTCTTTTATTAATTTATTTATGACTTTATGCACAAATATTTACATCGGCGGACCTAAGGCATTCTTTGACAGTCCACCGATTGGGCAATGCAAAGAAAGAATGAGGGAGTACTTATGGGGAGGTAATAAATTAAAGAATTTTTATTAATTACCAACTATTTTGTCATTTGACAAATATACGCAGTTATATACACATATATACAATCAGCGGAAATAACAGCGGCAATCCCTTTTTTTTTATAAGGGGCGTGGCTTAGTAGTGACGTCACTTCGCGTTTAGAGTGAGAGAAGGTATGAAGGGGTAGGCCGTGCGACCCCTGTCCCTGCTCCTATTTACAGCGACATCGAGTGCTCCAGCAGCATGATCACAGAGTGCGAGGCAAATTTTGAAGTGTATCGACTGATTCAGTGTTCGTCAGATCACCATGGACGTCAGCCTGTGCCAGCGGCTGTTCATAAAATAGCTAAAAAGAAACGAAAATTTTGTGATCCACAACAATTCTTTTTGTCCATAAGAACTCTCCAGTTCTCATTATCCGTGGTAAACACTGTCGCAGACGCACGAACACTAACAAGCACTGCACGGATGGCGTAGTGGTTTAAGTGGTCGCCACGCCGCTTCCTACTACACCGAGTGTTGTGGGTTCAAACCCCACATGGGACGACACTTTGTGTGATCCACAAATTGTTGTTCTGAGTCTGGGTGTTTTTTGTGTTCGTTTCATGTATGTTTGTAAAGTCCCACGCGACACAGGAATATATTCCTAATGCAGGCGTCGTCTTTAAAATAAAAAGCCAAACGTCCTTTGATGCGAGTTTAAAAACCGACAGCGGGCTGGATCGCCGCGCTCCATGTTTGAGAGCCTATCTTAGATCCTATAACTATATATATATTTCATGAAAAACAAATGTTTTTTTCCAAATCGTCTTCAACACACAACAGCCACAATCTATTTTGTCCAATTACATTTACATTACAATTAAATTAATAAAATTAATTATTAATTAAATTAAATTACAATATATACAAATAAATAAAATTGGAGTGTCTGTTTGTAATATTAAAATAACCGCTTTTTACTAAATGCATATGTATGTTTACACGGTACATATGCCAAAATAACATTTTTTTCAATTTTTGTCTGTCTGTCTGTCTGTCTGTTCTGGGTAATCTCTGGAACGGCTGGACCGATTTCGACGGGACTTTCAGTGGCAGATAGCTGATGACATAAGGAGTAACTTAGGCTACTTTTTTTAGACTAGCTTTGCCACGCGACGTTTCCCGCGGTTATAACAACAAACGCGGGTAACACCGCGGTTCTCAGCTAGTTAATAATACAAAAAAAAAACCATAAAGTTTGTTCATTTTGCAGTCTTTGCAAACTCCTCGGTGAAGTGCCATCCCTCCGTGTATCCAATCCTGACTATGATAAGCTGATCTCTGAGGCGAGTCGAAAGCTCTGGATGCTGGTGTCGGACTCCAATGTACCTGAAGTTGCGGAGGCTGCCTGCGATGCTCTTTCAGCTTACAAAATCGACGACTACAAGTTGAAGGACATACCTGAGGTTTGTTTGCCACTGTCAATTCAATTATGTTTAAGTACGCACAGACACAAATAAAAATTTATGTACGTATAAAAAATCTTTTACATATATCTCTAGTACATGTTCAAGGTCCGTGTGGTGACGGATTAAGACTACGGAATGTCACCACCCCTATTCATCCTGTGGGTGTCGTAAGAGCCGACTAAGGAAGCAAACTACGCAGGACAACAGCACTGTAAAGATAAAGAAAACTTGAAACAAACCCTATACCAACCCGTCTGGCTAGCGTGGTATAGTAGGCCAAAACCTCCTTTCTAAGGAAAGGCCTATGTCCAGCAGTGGACTAGTAAAGGCTGTTGATGTGATGATGTGATGTGAATATTTAATAACTCAGATATACAATATAATATATATATAATAACCCTTCTTGAAAAAATATTGAAATATTAATAATAATTAATTTAAAATATTGAATATCATTAAACGTTAAGACGGTAGGTTACGTAGAACACTTGTAGGAAATGACAAGTTGTGACGTCACACTTTGCTGACGTCAGAAAAAAATTAATAATCAATTCAAGGTTTATGTATCACTTAATTGCATAAGGACTATTTTGTAATTTATTTTGACCATAGAAAAATTATTCTATTCTTTAACATATTATTATGTCTAATTAATATATGGATGTCTTCTTTGGATGTTGATTAGATCTACAGAAGAACTGTGAAGTTACCAGCTTCATTCTGCAAAACGCCAGCTGATGCTGCGCGGAAACCAGAGGATGTTCTGGACTATGTGCCTTGTGAGTATTTGTACTTTATTTTAGTAGATACAACAAAATCTTAGAAATTTTTATTTATTTATTTATGACACAAATATAAATATTTTTACAGGTTATGTACTTAATGCAATAGTGTAGAAATTTGTTGTTAAAAATATGTATATTACCTATTGCATTATTAAAAATAACAACCTCACACATCCCACACAAGGCCATGCGATCCCAAACTAGTCCGCTGTCAAACATACCCATATACTTCAACACACACACACGCACGCACGCACACGCACACACACACACACACACACACACACACACACACACATCAAACAAAATATCCCGCTCCCGCTACATACTGATTGATTCGAAATTTGGTATACTGTTACTTAAGTGGTATTTCCATGATAAACTTTGGGTTGATGCTGATGTCGGGAATGTTTTTATTACTAATGTTACATTGAAACTGAATTTTTAACTTCTATTGTCTGTACCTGAAGGTCAATTCTCGTCATAAAATTTTGGTTTCAATTCAGTTCCGATTAAATTTCGATCTCACAACTGTAAAAAAAGGTATTTTCTTAATAAAATACTAAAGTATTACTAAGACAAGCAGATTAGATTTAATTTTCGTTTACAATATGGTATAATCACATGTTGGATGTTTAATACTTTACTACGAAAATACTTTATATGACAGGTCTGAGATCGAAAGTGGACGGAACTCACAGAGTATATTGAATAGTATGAGATAGAGTATTAACTCTAGCTAGGCGATTGCAGCGCGCCAAGCGGGCAGTTACGGAGTTACAAGTACTCATATATATAACTATACTTAGCATCGAGTACTCATGTATAGTAGTAGTAGTACACGTAGCACTTGTATTTGTTGTTGTTATATAGAACATTGTATGGCTACAAAATACATAATACAAGAAATATGTAAGAAACTATTTATTGTCTTTTTTTAAATATTGGAAACATTGATTTTGCACAGCATCTTCTTCTGAGACAATTATTTTGGTACCGTTTAATAACTTACGAGTTTTATTACAATTAGTAACACAACACTTTTTTGCAGACATTTCCAATTTAACAATATTCGAATCACAAAAGAAACAAAGTCCTGAAGTACAAGCCGCAGTGAAACAAAGTAGTGAAATCGTTATAATAAAGAAAGAAAAACCAAACCATAAAATCGTGAAAATTGAAAACGGTTTTCTGTTTGACAGTTCATTCAATTGTTTCTAGGGATGCCATATATATCAAAATGATTTTATACTAATTTAAATTTTATTTAGTCGATTTGCAGGTTAAATTTGGATCAATCAACAAATTTTTAACTTAAAAAATGAAAAATACATCAATGTTGCTACTTTCAAATGATTAATAAATTATTAGACTATATAGATTTAAAAATTATAATTTAAAAAATAAAATGATTCGACTTACTAAACTGTATTGGATCAATCAAATAATCAATGTTTAGTCGTTCAAGATCCCCTCCCTTCGGTTTCCGTCATGAAATTTGCCAGGGTGTAAAATTATAAGAATACCAGTATGAAAAAATTAAATAAAAATATTTACTTTTTTATTGTAAGATCCAATATGTGGTAAATAATTTTTATATATATGCTTTATTAAGTAATTACAAATAATTAATTTAATAAAATTAAATTTATATAAGCGCCATCTAGTCACTAGTTACAACTACACTTGAAGGTATTGTTGAAGTCGATAAAATGTTCTAAGCTTAATGACCGTGTCGGAACTGAACTGAGATCGAATTTATTACGAGAAATGCTTTCTGTTGTACGTTCGTATGCTAGATAGCTCTAGTTACATACAAAATTATTAAAATATATATTTCAACAATGTGCTTGTATCGCTGGCAACGCATTTAATAAAGATCTTTTTTTAAAAAGACAACCCCGCATTTGAAATATATTCTGTGTCGCGGGGGACTTTACAAACATACATGAAACGGACACAAAGAACACCCAGACTCAGAACAACAATTTGTGGATCATATAAAGTGTCGTCCCATGTGGGTTTCGAATCCACAACACTCGGCGTAGTAGGAAGCGGCGTGGTGACCGCTTAAACCGCTACTCCATCCGTGCAGTCAATCTGTCAAGTAATTTAGGCGCAAAAGCTAACAAATAGCCTCACGTTGAACAAAATATGTTCGTCAAGGTGAAATCTGGCCCGAAGTGTTCAAGTACACGAACCAGGCGGCGCTGCCGGGCGTGTCCCGGCTGTGCTCGCGGCTGGTGGAGCGCGAGGTGCGCGCGCACCGCAGCGGCGTGTACGCGCCCCACCGCGCCGAGCCGCACGGCCTCGCGCACCTGCACCACGCCAGCCTCGCGAGGGGACTACTCGAATGCTTCAAGAAACAGGTCTGCCTTCACTTCACACATCCCACACGCGCCACTCTGATCCCAAACTGAGCAGAGCTTCTGCTTCGGTAACCGGACTGCTGATAAATATACTTAAATATTTCTAAATACATACATATCTTATATCGTGTCACAATGTTCGTTCCCGTACTCCTCCGAAACGGCTTGACCGATTCTCATGAAATTTTATGTGCACATCGGGTAGGTCTGAGAATCGGCTGACATCTATTTTTCATACCCCTAAATGGTAAGGGTGACCCATCCCTAATTTTTTTTTGTTTTGCAATACAACGTTTGCCGAGTTAGCTAGTTATAAATAAATTACAACCAAACACAAATTCATCGTGCCGATCGCACATTTTTGTTCTAGGTGGGAATCGAACCCGATTCCCAGCAATCAGTATCACTAACCACTAGACCAATAGGCCTTTCAATACCACCATTAAATTAGCCATTACCGTCCTCTTTTAAAAATCAGAGACGTAAACTTGACGTATCATCTTCTGATCCCTTACACAATTTTATGTAGATTCAGCGCTATGTGTATTTTACATAGGTTTTTGACTAGTTTTAGGACTCTTTTATGGCCATAAAAGAAACCATTATTCGACGATTTTAACTGCTTTCTATAATGACCGACCGACGGGTTAACGCCAACCTTTCTTATGAATGTAATAATTTTCAGCAAGCCCGCTAAGTATGGGTGTGGAGATCGTGCAAAAGTAAAAAAGATAATATATTTTTGTTCGCATATAAAACTGAAAAAATAATTTTCGCAGGCGACTACACCATCACACGACTTCCCAGAACCCGTTCTCCTAGCTATCCTCCACACCTTGACATCGGAATATCCGAAGCCTCTACCTCCGTTAGACCTGTGCTTCCTCCCCGAAGCTTTCCACCGGGGGAAGGAGTGGAGACGAGGCTGTGTGACCCTGGCTGCGAGACAGGCACAGGTGTCGCAATCTGCTAGACGGATCTTAGAGAATTATCTGCAAGGAATTGATGGCAACGCTGAGGTAAGAGACCACATAAACTCAACTAACATTCTACATTCTCGAAAAAAGGGTATTTAATAGAGAGTCGCTTTCCATCAGGTGACCCGTGTACTCGTTTGCACCCTCTCCATTAAAAATAATTGGAAAGAAATTAGAATAATTTATCCGTCTATTAAAGAAATCGCCTATACGGACGTATTGGCCTACTTTAATTTAGGATAAAAACAGCTTTTAAGTTGTGGAGGTATGTGCTTTAAAACTGATATATTTTAACAACTAGGCTCTTATTCAATAGAAAAATTATAAACTTAAAAAAAGAGAATTTAATAGGTTATAAAATTTCCCGCTAAAACACTCGCATCGCGTTTTATTACGTCACTAACACTGACAGTTCTCCATAGAGTGAAAAAGGGTTGTCAATTTGGCCATATAATGTTGCTATTTAAAATATAATTATGTTGCCACCTTACAACACCTTTTATTGAATTATTTCGTAATTTACATATATAAATATATAATAATATAATATTCTTACAATATATGTGTAAATAAATTAGTGTAACTTAATCATCTTTACCGTACAGGAAACAGACATTCTGCTAACATTCGAGATTCTTCCAATTCTCTGCCGAGGAATGCCACCGAATGCCTTACGACCCCCCCTCGAAAAGTGCCTCAGTGACTCTTTCTCTGTCATTGCGAACACCAAGTTGAAAAGCAAAGGGATAGAAGAGACAGAGTACCTGTTTGTTAAGCAGTTGGAGATGATCAGAGTGTGTTTGGAGTGTGAGAAGATACACGACGCGAACAGGACGCTTTTGTCGCAGATAGTTGAGAGTTATATGTCCGTGTTGAATGATGATAATGTGGTGAGTATTTATTATATCATCAACAGCCTTTAGTAGTCCACTGCTGGACATAGGCCTCTCCTTAGAAAGGAGGATTTATTCTACAGTATGAGAATTGCCGTTTTTGTCTGACTGCGCTCAAAGGGGTATTATATTTTTCGAGTATTTGAATAAAATGTAAGATATAGAATAGTATGTATGATGGGTCGGGATTTTCCTACCCCTGATTCAAGGGCTTCTAATCTATAAAAAACAAACAATGGCACTCCGGGAGTGTAGACAGAAGTGAAAACTTAATTATAACAGGAAAAAAATTCGATTCGATAAGTTCTTACATGAATCTATATTTATGTTGTACGTATATACACAATATATGTTTATATTATAAATATTTATATTATCAATATATTCCAACCCAAACTCAACTCTCGTGTAAACGGGGCCAATATATGTAGATAGTTTAGAGGTGTCGGTAACGGTAACAGTGTCGCGAGTTCAATGATTTTTCTCATCTCAAAAAAATACATTCTTTTGTTTGTTTTTTCAAAAATACCCACCCCGCCTAAAAAAGTTTTCACTTCAAAAATAATTGTCTGTATACCAAATGAAGATTCCTACCTTCAATATTGCAGGCGTGGCCAGCGTACGTCCGCACTTGCCGGTGTCTGTCCAGCAAGTACCTGGAGCGTATGACGTCCCCTTCAGGCTGGTGGGAGGTGTCGAGCGCCCTGCTGCGGAAGGCAAGCGCCGTCCGCTGCGCCGTGGCGGAGATGGGCGACTGCGACACCGCGCTCAACTGGCTCAATGAAATCATCGATGCACAGGCTGGACAGCTCACGTGAGTATTCTCCTTAATACAGGTAATCGGTTTTAAGCAATTTTGGAACGAAGTTCCTTATCGCGAGTTGTGAAAGGGGGCTAGACGGAAAAAATTCTCACGAAAAGTTGTAACGACACTTTTTATGTTAGTCATTCAGCGCCATCTATCGAATAGATAGGAAATCATTACTTTTCATCTCAGTCTCAGCTTTTTTTTTTCTTTGTTCTTTACCGACTGAGTGAGGTTACCGGAGGAAAGACCCTCCACCTCCCTCTTAGTACTGGGAAGGGGAGGGTGTCATGTTGAAATGTTGTAATAAATTATATTCTTCATTCAGTATTGAATTTTTTGAATTGTAATTAGTGGCACTTAAATTGCACGGGGCGGACTTTATGCCACATTATCTGTCTGTCAGTCAGTATGTGTTATTATATATATTCAATGTATTAAAAAAAACTTAAAAAAAAAATTAAATATTTTTAAATAATAAAATAAAAATTAAAAAAATATCAACGGATGGAGAACGTCCCACTTCTTTTTGAGGTCGGGTAATTAGGTTTTGACCGTGTGGTGACGGATTAAGAATACAGAGTGTCACCACCCCTATTCATCCCGTGGGTGTCGTAAGAGCCGACTAAGGGATCAAACTACGCAGGAGAACAGCACTGCAAAGAGAAGGAAAACTTGACACAAACCATATACCAACCCGTCTGGCCAGCGTAGTATAGTAGCTCTAACCTTTCTAAGGAGATGCCTATGTCCAGCAGTGGACTATCAAAGGCCGTTGATGATGATTTTAGGTTCGATTTGTTTCAGTGAACAAGAGTTCTCCCTTCGGTGTATGTTCCCCGCGCTGAAGGCAGCCAAGCCTGACTCGGCAAGCACCAAGCAGTGGCTGCTACAACTCATGGGAAGGACGCAGGTTGCTTTTAATGAGTAAGTGGGAACAACATACAGGTATTTAAGGTAGTGGTTTGTGTAACGGACTGCTATTCCAAAGGTCGCGGGTTCGATTCCCGCTCAATTCAAACATTTGTGTGCATGAACATTTAATGTTTGATTTGGTCTAGGTGTTTCTATGTATAATATGTATGTATTTACAAAAAAAAAAGTAGGTATGTATTTATATCAGTTGTCTAGTAGCCATAGTTCAAGCTCTGCTTAGTTTGGGACTAGATGGCGTTGTGTGAATGTGGTAGAATGTTATTTATTTTATTTATTTATTTATGGTAACAATCATTTTGTTGTATTTTAATGAGTGACTGGAGGACTGGACTGGTTTTGTTATTTTCTTTTATCTGCATTTTTTGGTTTTGTCTGCATTTATGGTCATTGCTTTGCTCCTAAGGGTCGTACCGTAATGTTAGCTTATATTATTTCTGACAAAACTGTACGTAATAAATTTCAGTTTGGACTGAACAGACCTCTGAATAGTTTAATTGTATTTTTTTTAAACAAGCTTCTCTGTACCCTGAATGTCACCAGCACCAAAGTATATACCAAGAAAAAACAAATGAGCCAGAACTAGATGGGTTTATTTTGTTAAGAAGTTTCTATGGCTGTCAGAACAGCTCCATGGCTGTTATTGTATTGCCACTGAATACATTTGTTCACCAAATTTAAGCCGAACAACAACGATTCTGACTGGTTCTAATTTAGCTTCCAAGGTTCCTGCCGAACCCATACAAATATTGCAAGTTAAATAAATCTTGTAAAAAGGTATTCAGTGTTAATGTAATTTTGTTTCAGAACGGAAGACAAGTCAGCCAAGCTGTACCTGTGCGACGTGTTCATGCTGTGCGTGGTGGTGTTCAGCGGGGTGTATGCCGTGGAGGGGGGCGAGGTGGCGGTGGCCGCTGACCGCCGCGTGCGACACGAGCTGCTGCCCGCCGCGGCTGCTGAGCTGGCCCGCATCTGGCCCGACTGCTCTCTACAGGTTATTTACTGTTCACTTGTTAAGGGTCTTAGAGCACTTATTAACATACTTTATTATTATTAGTTTCACTTGTAACTGAACGTTGGAGAGTCTTCGGCACAAATGGGACGGCTCGACCGCAGCTATACCATGGCTTCATAGAAAACCGGTGCTACCAAATGAACGAGGTCACTGTAGTCAAAACCTCCCCGTCCCCTTTGTTTCTGGAAGAGGGGTGAAACTGTGACTTTGATGTTGTAGGTGACCATGGGCGTCGGTAGTCACTTACCATCAAGTGATCAGTTTGCTCGTTTGCCCTCTTTTCTACGAAAAAAAAACTACAAGTCGCTAAGATAGTAATTTGCTTGTTTTGTTACCCCTGTTGAGAGCCCTGGTTACCCATACCACAATTTTATTCTTACTTTGGATACCAGAGTTCAATGAAATAATGTGATGTTTATGATACCTCGAAACATGTTCAAATCGATTCTTAAATTTTATGGCAAATAAATGATTATTATTATTTCACTGTATTGACAACCTTTGGTAGCTAAGTTTAATATACGTACATACCCATATAATAGACATACGCAATGAAATAAAGTAAAGATAAACAGCTGCCCTGCCGCCCGCACCTCTCCCCCGTTGTCGTCCTACTTCCGAGCCCCTGTACCCCGCAGGGTTTATCTATAATTGAATTTAGATTGAACTCGGTGTGTATAAAATGTATATTTGCGTGCAGCTGTTGGAGTGGTTGTCGCCGCGGGGGTGTGCGCTGGGCTCCCCCCCCGCGGCCCGCACGTGCCAGCGCGCGCTGCTGGCCGCGCGCCACGCGCCGCACTTCGCCACGCACAGGATCTGGACCAGACTGTGAGTTCATCATCTATCTATCAATACCTGGACAAAATTCCTTGTAACCCCTTTTAAAAAGTTTAGTTATAAAAATCTATTTTCAACCTTAGAATGCTTTAAATAAGATTCATTTTGGGTCACCACAACATTTTCCAATCTAATCCCGTTTTCAGTATATTTACGTATGAACGTGAATAAAGATAAATCATGAAAACGTTACACTCCTTTTTTCAATTTCGTGTAAAAAAAAAAAATTTATTTAATTTTATTGTTTATTTCAGAGAAAGCCACTTCGGTCGGGATATTATTGATGAGAACCTTTAAAAGAAAGACTTGGGATAATTTATTAATTACCAGCCATATTTACGCATCAATTATACGTTTGAATGAAGCAAACAAGGTGTCAAAAACTTGCACAAACAAAAACTGCCGTCGGTGTATACCAATAATCTGCCTGTTCTAAAGACCTAAGAAGTTAGAAGAACTTCTTTCTATCAGGGATTATATAGAGTGTATTCTCCTGCTTTACTTATTTTTTGGCCCTAAAGAGAACAATGTTCCTATCTGCTATAACTCAAGGTTAAGAATGGGCTGAACCCCTGCTAGCACGTGTCAACTACTGAGTCCAGAGTCAGCTACTTTCATCTTTCCTTGGTGTGTTTCCCAGACGGTTTCTCTTTCGCAATCTATTGACAAGAAATGTCAGCTATTCTCGCTTTGGCAACACTTAAACCCATTAAGGCACGTCACTTTCCTTTTATCTGTGGCAGAAAGTGGTTTTTCCATGCTGCTGTGTTTAAGTTAATAAAGAGAAAGTACATTTGTGATTGTACTGATATTCTTACCGTTATCACACAGTACGCTATAGCGACCTTGAAAGAATCTTTCAGGCCCTCGCGCTCTCTAGCAAGTTCACGCCATCTCTAGGTCTTCAGACACTACTTGGCTATTGGTATTAGGCAGGTTACATATTTATTATTTTGCTGTATAAATATGTCAGGCGTGCAAAATAATATTCCTATAGCTGTTTGTAGTCTAGTCATAAGGACGGTATATTATTGTTACTTGGATCTGAAGTATCTAAATATTGAAATAAATGTATAATTATATAAAAAAGTATGTTTAATTTATGATATACCTAAATCATTATATATCATAGTTGATAAATTGGCACTTCACCACCGTACGCTTACCGAGGAACTTTTTGTCTCGCACAATGAATCTGTGGAACAAATCTATATATGTATATATAAAAGAAAGTCGTGTTAGTTACACTACACTTTTTTTTGTATCGGCGTCGATCACCAGATGACAACGGTGGAACTGTCACAACAAAAGTGAAAAGAATGGATTTCCTTGTCGACAACAGTTGGATTGTTCCATATTCGCCACTTATTTCTAAAACGTTCAAGACACATTGCAACGTTGAGTATTAGTCGGAAGACCATCCGCGTTGTTTGTTTTTGCGCCTGATAAGAAAACAAAAAATGTCGTGTATCACAAGGTACTTAAGTGAAGAGCAACCTATGTACTGAAATGCAGAAACAATAATAAATGATTAATGTACTTCATTTTTTTTTCTAAGAAATAAATTAACTTACTAAATTCGAAAATCGGCTTATTTATTGCCTTTAAGGCGGAACAGAGTTCGCCGGGTCAGCTAGTTCTAAAATAAAAACAAAACCGGTCAGGTACGAGTCGAACTCGTGCGCCGGGGGTTCCGTACCTACCCAGATTTTTTATTTTATTTTATTTATTGGAATTATTCCTTTATTTGTGCTGTAAGACGTTTCATTTTGCCAAATTTTGTGATTCTAGTTCAACGGGAACTACCATACAGGTTTTCGACCCAGAACCTATAGGGTACTTTCGGTTGACCTAGAATTGTCAATTAGGTTAAAAGCAAGTACAGCACAAGTAAAGAGAAAATTCTGAAAAATAAAATTTTGGTACTTACAAGTTTTCGCAAAAATCGAAATTTGCCTATATCTTTTTATAGTGTTGACTCAGGACCTTGATTTTTATACACCTAATAGGGACCATAGACTTCAGTATCTGGTATAAATTTCAACTTGCTAGGTCTACCCGTTCCTGAGAAAATCGTGTTGACAGACTGACAAGAAAGTGATCTTATAAGGGTTCCTTTTTTACCTTTTGAGGCACGGAACCCTAATATTTTTATCTGGAGGCGGATCCACACAGAGCAAGCAGCTTCTCTAGGCATTTGCAGCGGCTTTGGTATTATCGTGAGGCTGCTGCGTGCGCTATAATAGTATAATTTTGTAATAGATATCAGTTAATCATTAGCTTCATTTATACACCTGCCCGTCCGGCCGGTCCGTGTGGTGACGAATTAAGAATTCTGTATTGTCACCACCCGTATTTATCCCGTGGGTATCGAAAGAGCTGACTTATACCGCAGAGAGGAGGAAAACTTGACACGAACCCTATACTAACCCGTCTGGCCAGCGTGGTATAATAGACCAAAACCTTTCTATGCTGAGGCTTATGTCCAGCAGTGGACTATTAAATGCTGTTGATGATGATAAATCTGCCACACACAGCTCTGCATCACACAAAGGTCGAATAGAAGAAAATGCCTATGGTATTCAGTCCGTCTAATGCAATGTATTTGCAGGAAGTAATAAATAAATAATATAATTTAAGAAAGCGTTCAGTAACTAACAGTTTGTATAATTACATGAACTAAATTGATTACTTTGGGAATGCAAGACAGCCCTCTTTATAGCTGTTTGATTCAATTTGAGCCTTTCTATGTACGGGTAAAATACCAAAGAAAACGAAGTCCATTTGCGATAAGAAATTACTGACGTCAAGTGCGAGTTTATTTCACTTCTACTCGATCGTCACGGTGACCGCGTTCGGCGCTACGATTGGCCCGCACTGAAATCTCCACCAATCACAACGCCAAACGCGGTCACCGTCGACAGCGAGTCGATGTGAAATAAACTTGCACTCAGCCCTCTGAAATCTCCGCCAATCGCAACGGTAAACGTGCTCGCCGTCGAGAACGAGTCGATGAGACGGTGGGCGGTGCTTGATCGATACGTCATTATTTTATTTAATGCGTGTATTGATTATAGTTCGAAATCTATGTGCATTTTCACTTTTAGTGAATATCAAGAGAGGGTTCGTTCCACGTGTGTGTTTCGGGGAAGTTGTCTTTTCTAATACGAAGGTCTTATGGAGAAGAGAAAAGAAACATGGACACAAAAAAATAGGTACATATTTTTGTCGTCTAAATAATAATAATAATAACCTCACACATGTCACACACGGCCGTCTGATCCCAAACTAGGCAGAGCCTGTGCTATGGTAACCAGACTGCTGATAAACATACTTATATATTTTTAAATACATACATATTATAGATAAATTACACCCAGACACAACAAATGACCGTGCTCATCACACAATATTTGTCCTGGGTGGGAATCGAACCCACGACCTCCCGGCTTAGCAGTCAGGGCCACTAACCACTAGACCAACAGGCCCGTCAAATAGAAGATAATTATTTATATTTAACCGACTTTTGGATGTATATATTTTTTTTCATGTATTTTTGGGCATAACTCCGTCATATATAGAGGGATTTTCAAAATTAATTTCTTGTACGAAAGGGATTTATTCCGAAATTAACCCATTTAAATCTCATGTAGATCTGATGATGAGTTTCGAAGACCGACAACGGAACTCTTCAAGAAATGACAGCAAATCAACCGCGATTGCTGTTAGGTGTTTAGTGATCTTTGTTAGTGTTGTTTGAAGTCTGTTCAACTTTTTTTAAGAATGATACATATTTTTTTTTTGTAAAGACAACTCCCGCACTAGCAATATATTTCTGTGTCACGGGCGACTAGACAAACATACATAAAACGGACACAAAGAACACCCAGACTCAGAGCCACAATTTGTAGATCACACAAAATGTTGTCCATGTGGAGATCGAACCTAAAACACTCAGCGCAGTAAGTCGCGGCGAGGTGACCGCTTAAACCACTACGCCATCCGTGCAGTCAACCTACAAACGATAGCCTACGTTTTGACGAAGGTGTAAGTGTATTCGTTTATTGTAAAAAAAACACATCAGCATCATTAAATTACTGTTCATTTTTATTTTCATAGCTTTATATATATGTTCTTTGATAATATACAAAACCAGCATCCATAGGAGACTTACAAAGTTAACCATTTACCTAATATTAATCTACATTAATCTAAAGGTATAGTCCTGTTTTATAAATAATAAATAATAATAATATATTCTACCACATTCACACAACGCCATCTAGTCCCAAACTAAGCAGAGCTTGTACTATGGGTACTAGACAACTGATATAAATACATACATACTTTTTTTTTTGTAAATACATACATATTATACATAGAAACACCCAGACCAAATCTAACATCAAATGTTCATGCACACAAATGTTTGACTTGAGCGGGAATCGAACCCGCGACCTTTGGAATAGCAGTCCGTTACACAAACCACTACGCCATCCAGTCGTCATAATATAAATAAAACCGATTATTTATATCTAAATTAACTATTTACACACCGTGTGGTGATGGATTAACAAAACGAAGTGTCACCGCACCTATTCATCCCGTGTCGTAACAGCCGACTAAGGGAGCAAACTCTGCAGGATAACAGCACTGCAAAGAGAAGGGAAACTTGACACAAATCTTATACCAACCCGTCTGCGCTGCGTGGTATAGTAGGCCAAAACCTCCTTTCTAAGGCCTATGTCCAGCAATGGATTTTTAAAGGCTGTTGATGATGATCATAAAATTAACTACTATTCCTCGATTACACATAACGCACCGAAAATTTGACCATCAATTTGACAATTGAATGTATTCCTTAAAATCGAAGGTATGTACACATGGTAAAGAAACCTATATCTTGGAATACCAATAGCCTAATTATATTCTGATGTGTAACATCCCTTCAATTTCCTGTAATCTGTGTAAGTGATTTAGTGAAAAGTGATAAAACTTTGTAACAGGAAGTGTAAGTGTGACCAATGAGCGCGCGATATTTGACTCGACTAATGCTCGCGTGATATTTGATTCGATTAATGAGCGCGCGATATTTGATTCGACCAATGAACGCGCGATATTTGATTCGACCAATGAACGCGCGATATTTGATTCGACCAATGAACGCGCTGACCTAGAATTGCTGTTAGAAGGTAGATAAGATATCAGACGTTACCCATGCGACTACTGTAATGCTTGCTGCTTGTTAGTTTGTAAGAATATTAACGCGAATTTCATAACTGCCAATATTTATAAATGTAGTTTAATGATCGCACATTGAAATTTCCGCCCCCCACTAGTTCCATATCCTGCGATTCGGGGGATACCCACACTCAGAACAACAATTTGTGGCTCACACAAAGTGTTGTCCACAAATCGAACCCACAACACTCAGCGCAGTAGGAAGCGAGGTGACCGCTTAAACCATTACGGTATCCGTACAGTCTTATACCTACATACATTCAAGGCTATATTCTTTAAGAGGTAAACAGAGGCGAAAGCCCAACCGGACACCTTAGAGATTAAAAAGGAACATTTGGAGTATTTTGAAAATAAGAGTTCACAAGAAGGGTATGCAATGGTAGATAGGTATATTGCTTATACGGATGGCTCAAGGTCAAGGACGCATATCTGTAACTCAAATTATATTATCTGTTAAAATAACACTTACAAGTTTTTACGCAATAATAAGTTAAAAATGTTACTTTACAAACTTAGTATGTAATTCTAACTCGCCAAACCCATTATTTCCTATCGAGATAACGGATAAAACACTTATTATAATGTCTAATATTATCTATATACATATATTTATTAAATTAAATAGTAAACTTAAATAAGTAACCTTATATATAATTACATAATTTTTACATTTGGCTCATAAATTGGCGGCTATTGAGTGACTACGGAACTTAATAATCAATAATATTTTAAGATTTCAATATAAGTTATAGATTTTGTGCATTTTATAAGCAACTAATGCTATCATATTTTGATACTACTAAGTAAATAAAACTTAAAATCACGATTTGAAAATTTCAATTGTAAATTTTATCTTACAGCTTTAATATGATAAAGATAAAGGATTTTATTACCCTGACCCACTCATAATAAATAAAGGAACAAAAACGTTTGGCTAAAGACCCAAAAAAAAAGAATATTGCAGCTTTAATCCGCTTTGTTTTAGATTCCCGATACGTCCGTTTTTAATTTGGTTTTTAGTAAATTGCTTCACGCATATTCCTCCTCTCTCACTCTAATCCATAGCGCCAGCCGTATTTCCGACAGACGCTTTACATAAAATTTAAGTTAAACAATTTCAATATTAAATAGTTCAACTTAGATAAGTTTAAGTTAAAACTTCTGTCGGGCGTCCCGAGATGTACACGTTTGTTTTTTCGTGTCAATATCACTCTATCACACTACTACACAAACTATCACTCCCGTCGAGCTGGTCGATTTATACCGAAGCATAGCTCTCCCACGGCAAACAATATTTATAACACTTCTTACACTGTTATCTCACACGTGTTGCTGAAATTTTATATTTTCTTGTCCATCATTATTTTGTACCATAAATTTACTCTAGAAATGGTATTCCACTTAAAGTGACATGTCTCATTTTTACCATGGGCTCCTTGTAAGCGATTTGCACTAGAGAGTGAGCGCCGGGTGGCGCGTGAGCCGCGCTCACACAGCCGTCTCGTCCGCCGGAGCCTTCACCTGAGACTCGGTGGGGCTCCGGACGGGGACCCGGATCACTTCCTCTTCTAACTTCATATCTACTGGCGTGTTCTGTAAATCATAGACAATATATTTTAAGCCACAAACACTGTTTGTAGGTAAACATTTTATCGTGCAGTTAGTTTAAAGTGTGAATATTGTCAGTATTAATTATAAAATACATTAGATACATACCTACAAGTATTTATTCCTGAGTGAGCAAAGGCATTTTAAAATGACCACACCGGGTATTTTAGGAATTAGATGGGAATGGCAGGAAAAGCTGGTAAGATGGGCAGGCAGGTGTAGGAAAAGGGTGTTGCTTATACAAACGGATCAGGGAGTCTAAGTAATATCTCAACTAGGTCAGGGTCGTATATCTCCAGCTCGAACTGACTAGGCTGAGTCCCCCTAATTGTTATAATATTCCATTAAAAGCTGATTAGTACGATTACGCTTAGGTCATCATCATCATCATCATCTCAGCCGAAAGACGTCCACTGCTGGACATAGGCATCTCCAAGGGTCTCCACAACAACCGGTCCTGTGCTGCTCGCATCGAACGGCTTCCTGCGACCTTAACTAGGTCGTCGGACTACCTTGTAGGGGGCTTGCGACGCTCAGTCTTCCGGCACGTGGTCGCCACTTCAGAACTTTTTGCCCCAATCGGCCGTCTTTTTTTGCGAGCAATGTGGCCGGCCCACTGTTACTTAAATTTGGCAATTCTGTTTGGAATTCACGGTAGATTTTTTGTAAGCAGGCACCCGCCATCGCAGTGTTACTGCCTTTCCTAGCTCCTCCAATAATTTGGAGCCTTTTTCCTATTATAACCGTTCACTCCGATTGTCGCATTTGTTAGTTTGGTATTGGAAGAGTTGCAACCCCATCCCAGTTAAGCACAGCGAACGTTAGTGGTGGTGTGAGGTCTGACCTCGAGCGCAGTGTAGTGCTTGTGCAGCGCGGCGGGGAGCTTGTTGCTGCGGGGCAGCGCGGGGAGGGGCGGCAGCGCGGGGCGGAGGCGCGCCGCGTCCAGCAGCGCGCGCCCGCGCCGCACCGGGCTGTCGCGCGGCAGCGGCGCCGGGCACGTGCCCACGCTCTTCAGCAGCCGCGCGCTGCGCACCGCAACCGTTTCACCAATTAAGCGGCAACAAGTATTGTCGTAAAGCAACCAGAGGGCCGAGTGCTAGTTTATTTCACATCGACACGCTCTCGACGGCGATGCGGGTCAATCGTAGCGCCGAACGCGATCACCGTGACGATCGAGTCGAAGTGAAATAAACTCGAACTTGGCCCTCGTATAACCTTTACTTACGTCAGTACCTATTATCTATAGTGTCTTAAGATCGGACAGCCATTACGCCATGCTACATTTAGACACAGAATACATAGTACAGTGAAACCTGGTTAGTGTGTCCTGAACCTATAAGAAACCTCCTTTACTGATAATTAACAATAAGATCCCAACACTTCTGCATAAAAATACCTTCGTTTTTGAGAATTTTCAAAGCTTTTAAATTAAGATTTTCACTTCCTTTAGGTACAGTCGAGTTCAATAATATATTGGCAGTGCTAATGTTGCAAAATATTGTAAGCGTTAAAATAATCGTATAGTTCCATACACACTTAAACATCAAAAAATGATATCATATAAATTGTTCATAAATATGTTACGGTAGCGTAGTCAATAATATATGACTACTCTCCTGCACAAAAATATCTAAATGCTCTAGGTTTCAATATATTTAATACAACCTAGGATTCATAAATCTGTAAATATTCAGCTATATGGCCTTTACTATAAGATTTATTTTTGCTTGCCGGTGTGGAAGGAATAATGCGTCATCCGTGTAGTAACGGATAAAGAATACAGAGTGTCACCACTCCTATTCATCCCGTGGGTGTCGTAAGAGCCGACTAAGGGAGTACACTACGCAGGACAACAGCACTGCAGAAAGAAGGAAAACTTGACACAAACCCTATACCAACCCGTCTGGCCAGCGTGGTATAGTAGGCCAAAACCTCCTTCATAAGGAGAGGCCTATGTCCAGCAGTGGACTATTAAAGGCTGTTGATGATGATGATTATTGATGATTGATGATGCCATTCGTAATAGGACTGTATAACTATGACAACGTTGCGCCGCATCTGTATTATTTGATTAATTAGGTTTCAGCCATACTACTAAAATTTCAACGTGATGATGTGTGATAAAACCTCATAAATTTTCAATGGGGTTTAGGTCAGGATTCTTGGCTGGAGTTTAATTAAATGTATATCTTCCTGTTGAGCATACCCATGGACCCTTGCATTGTGGACGCAACTTACATCCTGTACAAATTCGATTCTATGATCATAGGGATAAACAATCTTAACGGTTGGAAATCTTTTAATCCGGAATCCGTCAACATCAAAGTCAATTTTCCCAAAAAAAAAAACAAAACACAATTTTGACTAATTGGCCATTATTACAATAGGAGGAGTCCGTGTGGTGACGGATTGAGAATACGGAATGTCATCAACCCTATTCATCCCGTGGGTATCGTAAGAGCCGACTAAGGGAGCAAACTACGCAGGAAAACAGCAGTGCAAAGAGAAGGAAAACTTGAAACAAACCCTATAAAAACCCATCTGACCCAATTGGTATATAGGCTTTCTAATCCAGCAGTGGACTGTTATAGGCTATTAATGTTTATATTACAATAGGATTTACTTTTGTAAGAAGATTGTTACAATTTATAAAAGAATTTAAGAAAACAAAATCGGGGCTCCAAAATATGTAGATAATAGAAAAGTTGCATAGATATTTATGAACATCACTTTGCATTGAAAAAAATAAACAAGGGATCGCGCACAATATTTAGTCTTTATCTGTAGCAATATTATAGATATTATGTAGTTACATATTTATGACGTCACGGAGTGTTTACAATTTATTGTAAGGCAAAGCTGTTTAGAATTTTTTGAAACATAATTTTGCCTATATATTTTTGATTTATAAACATATTAATGAACTCGACTGTACCTTTAGGAATACGTATTGTGGTAGTACTACTTAGTAAGTTTGTTTTTCAATACTGTCTAAGGATTTCGTTTTGTTAGACCTCTTTTAACAAAAAGGACCCTAACTAACAGGACCCCTATAAATAAGAGAACCGTATTCATAAACCTTTCTATTTAAAACACTAGGTAAATAAAAAGTCTCTGTAATTGGTAAAATAACCTCACCCATGAGAACTCAGTTTAACAGGTTTTACTGTAGTAATAATTCCATTTAATAATAATAATATAATATTCTACCACATACACACAACGCCATCTAGTCCCAAACTAAGCAGAGCTTGTACTATGGGTACTAGACAACTGATATAAATACATATATTTAATTAAATTGTTTCAATAGATAACCATTCTTACAACAAAACAATAAAGTGCAAAATTCAGATCAGTTATTTAAACCAAGAAGTTGATTGATTCTTCCCCTTATCTTTTCAAGTGGCGTTAGGATTACATTACTTTAAATTTCGATTTCCTTTAGAAGTGCCAAAACCCTGAGGTTTTGGCTGCCGCTGAATATGATTTTGCCTTCACTATTGTCATCTCAAATAATGTAGTAATCTAAAAAATATCTCGAACTATACAACGATGAGTAAGTGTCCAGCTAAGGTGCAACCACATTAGTAGATCAGTGTGCACACCGCAACCAGCTTGCCACACCGTATTTGTAGCTTCATAGTGCTAAGTGGACTTAACCTACTTTAGAATAAATCTCCACCGATTTTGTACCAATTGAAAGACAACTCTCGCGTTAGGAATATATCCTGTGTTGCGGGGACTTTACAAACATACATGAAACACAAAGAACACCCAGACTCAGAACAACAATTTGTGGAACACACAAAGTGTCGTCCCATGTGGGGTTTGAACCCACAATACTCGGCGCAGTAGGAAGCGGCGTGGCGACCGCTTAAACCACTACGCCATCCGTGCAGTCATTTCATTACATTAATATATTATTCTCAAATTTGTAAAGAAACATCAAATTCTGTTAACTTACGCATCAAGCAGTTTCAACAGCAGTCTGCTGTACGCTGTGTACTCATCTTCTCCAAACTCTCCAGGGTGGTGCCTGGCATATTCATAGGTATCACAGAACTGGTGCACTAACTTCTGCCCTCTCCCATCTAGAGGGGCAGCTAGAGATGACAAGAGGAATGCGCGAAGTGACTCGCGAGGGTGGCGGCGGAGACCAGCGTCTTGACGGGCTATTTCCTCTTCTGAAAAAAATTATAAACAGACGATAGTATCTACTTAATTAAGAACTATGTGACTGGTTTATACCAACTAAAATTTTTAATAACATTAATAAGTAACTGTAGATACCTAACACGCTGCCGTCTGTTCTCAAACTAGCCAGAGAATTATGGTAACCAGACTGCTGATAAATTTACTTATATTTGAATTAATATAAATATTGATTCAAGCTTCTATAGTAATTATTACTTTATAAGAGACTAGCTGACCCGCGCAACTTCGTCTGCGTCTCTCAATAGTAATAAATTGTCTCCGTTTTTGAAACATTCTTCATTGGTGCTCCGCTCCTATTGGTCTTAGCGTGATGATATATAGCCTATAGCCTTCCTCGATAAATGGACTATCTAACACTGAAAGAATTTTTCAAATCGGACCAGTAGTTCCTGAGATTAGCGCGTTCAAACAAACAAACAAACAAACAAACAAACAAACTCTTCAGCTTTATAATATTAGTATAGATAACTGATCTGTTCATCTGTGATCATAGATCACAAGTGCTGAAATATCACACTCATATCATGCTCATCACACAATATTTGTCCTGGGTGGGAATTCTACCTCATTTATACAACCCCATCTAGTTCCAAACTAAGCAGAGCCTGTATAGATAGTTCAACTGGCAGTGACGCGGCAGTCGGACGACGACTGCCACACGAATGAAAGTTGTATATTTACAAGCCCACGCACACATAGGGCCTTGGAGGAAGTCTTCGTTCAACAATGGACGGCAAATGGCTGATGAAGACTAAATATAAATATTGTACATTTGATGTACAGATACACTAAAACTTATGACTACTAATTCCATAAAACATCAATAAAGTCTTACCAAGTGTTTTTACGTCATCAACGGCTCTGAACCGGTAATGGTAAGGCTGCTGAGGTTCCAGAATATAATGTGAGGGTTCCGTACTAAGAAGACGGGGCTCGTACATAATCCTCGGTACAGCTTCTATACGGCGTTCAATCTCTCTCTTCAAATACTAGAATTAAAATGTGCACAAGTTTTTATAAGGATGATATTCATGGCCAGGTATATGCCATCATTTTAGCTGTTGTGAAGTAAATTGCTGTTTGTCTGTGGTGGGAAAAGTAGATATCTATTTGGTATCTGTCTTTCATGTGACATAGTGGACAAGAAGCAGATAGTGCCCCTGATGATAAGTGAGTACCGCTGGTCATGGACACTTTCAGATCAACAAGTAAAAGTTTTACAAAAAAACCGACTTCAATGGTTTTCTCATGGATTCCATGGTCAGAACTAGACCAAATTGAAATGGGACCACACGGGAAGCACCAGCTTTCCAATAAAAAAAGAATCCTCCTCCTTTTTTGAAGTCGGTTAAAAATTAATAAGTACTTTAAGTAATAAGTCTGTTGTGGGCCTTATGAAGTTTCGGCTCTGTATTATAATATCTCCTGATACATTATTGTTTTCGTTGAGATCCATTCATAATTCCTTGATAATAAGGCCTACTCAAAGTTATTAAAAATTATGTTCGAGAGCTATCCCTGTCAAAACTTAACTTAAGTAAGTTAATTAAAATAAATATTTATAACAAAAAACATTTGTTGAAGAATACATTTTACTGTTAAGTAAGTACTTAACATTTATTGTAATAGTGATTGTATTATTTGTCAAAATTGAGATTCTATTATTAGAAAAAATTCAAATAATATGTAAGTGAATTGTAAAGGAATCACATAATTAATTGTTGCAGAGGTGTATTTGACATGTAAGATGCAGAATGTGTCCTAGATGTCAATGATACAATATTAAAGATATAGTATCCATGTGGTGACAGATTAAGAATACGGAATGTCGCCACCCCTATTTGTCCCCTGGGTGTCGTAAGAGCCGACTAAGGGAGCAAACTACGTAGGACACCAGCACTGCAAAGAGATGGAAAACTTGAAAAAGACGCAATACGAACCCGTCTGCTTAGCGTGATATAGTAGGCCAAAACCTCCTTTCTAAGGAGGATATACCAAGTGCAATGCAGTAAACATTATTTTGATGCGTTTACCCATTTACGATAACTTATCAATATCTTCAACTGTCATGAAATATTGTGTCCATTGTATATGCTGTACTCCTTACAAGCAACCACCCATAAATTCTTCTCTACCTGAGTAGAGAAAAAGAATTTATGTTGAACACGAAAGTTATCTATTAAGAACTTACTTTTTTAGCATCAGTACCGATGGGTACGTGGGGTCCTCTCCGAGAGCGAAGGGCGAACCTTGTTATTTGCCTTTTAGCGAATATGAATAGGATCACAAATGTAAGGGCACCACCGCTTATTATAAATATTATGTTTAATATACTCGTAAAGTCCTGCATTGTGCAAGTTTTATTCAAAAATTAAATAACATAACACAATTTAATCTCAAATTAATCTCTTATAGAAATTCTCTTCGAGATCGCTTTATTTTATCAAAACAGTGATCTAGAAAGAGACAGAAGTATACAATGAGTGTAAGTGTGAAAGAAATATAGACACAGCAAGGCTACATAAGTACATACTGCTTCTGATACGAACAGAATGACATTAGTGACACCTTGCTGTCAATCGTTGGACGTAATTTTATTCGTTCAGCATCTCATAACTTTACCAACATTTCATTTACGACTAATAGTTTGTGAAGATTTAACGTTAAAAAGTTTTAGTAAGAATGTTTATTGACTGCTTGTTTTTGTATCATACATAAATACAAACCTGTGAGTCTAATGATGGCTATTAGGGGATAGACGTACAACATACCATGATCAGATTAACTATCATTTGAAGATAGGGCAGGTCGGTAGTTCCCGAAAACGGCGGACTTGTATGAAAAGTAAAATCACAGTTGAAGAATAAAGGTAGACAATGAGATAAATATAAGGACATAAATAAGTAATAGGTTTTTTATGCTTTAGACCTGAGTTTATGTATATATGCTCTGGTTCTGGTGTCATAGGTAGGTATATATTATGTTCGTATTTGGGTACCTATGCAGCTATGTCATAAATTCTAAACGCGTATAAATAATTACGTATGGTATGTTGTTTGCTTTATAGATTTTGTTAATAGTCATAGCGCGTAACGCCACAGTAACGCACATATTTTACCTGCTTAAACTTCAAGTTATTTCATTACATTAAATTGTTTGCGAATAGTCAAAATCTCATTAAAAATGTTTTTTTATAAATATAAAACGAAGTTGTGAGTCTTGCATAATACCATAAACCTCTATTGTTAATCTTTTGTAATAAGTTAAGAAGGCACGCAATGCAGGCACCTACTTATTTTAACATGATCAGGTGGTTGCTATACCTAGAAATGCTTATTATTTATTCATCGTTTATCATACGCCGTCGCCTACACAAACGAACATAAATTCCTTCATCATGATTCTTTCTATTGAAGAGTTGGGAGCGGCACGAATGTCTTTGGCGGGAAACGCTACTTGCATACTAATATTAAAACGGCGGCGACGTGCGATGACCAACAGACGTTGTTCAATTATGGAAAACGAATGTCGATTGTCAATCGAGTGCCTACAGTGGCCACAATAGGTTTCTTGACAAATTTGGTTTCGTTATATACCATTGGATGTCATTTCAATTCAGTGTACATTGCCAGCGTTACCTTTAATAGCGGCATTCATAGAAATATTGTTTTCGAGCCATCTTTGACATAATGCAGGCTTCGTGATTGTCTGTTTGATAGCTATAAATAACTCAAAGAGGGGAGGTTCTTTCCATTCCGGAAATAATTACATTAAAAATCGACTGTTTTTGACCTGTGACATATTATTGTGTACCAGATAGCTTTAAAGATATATAATCAATGTAGCCACTACTACTATCCGTCCGGTCCGTGTAGTGACGGATTAAGAATACGGAATGTCACTACCCCAATTCATCCCGTGGGTGTCGTAAGAGCCGACTAAGGGCGCAAAACAAAGCAGGACACCAGCACTGCAAAAAGAAGGAAAACTTGACACAAACCCTATACCAGCCCGTCTGGCCAGCGTGGTATAGTAGGCCAAAACCTCCTTGCTAAGGAGAGGCCTATGTCCAGCAGTGGACTATTAAAGGCTGTTGATGTGATGTGATGACTACTACTATGAGCCACTCAGATAACAGAGATATAATAAAATTTGACTATTTTCAGTTATTCCAGGCAAAGGCTAAAAAGGTGGTCAATTGCCAGCTCTCAAACCGAGGGTTTCGTCCTTTGTACACTTCCCATTCACCGATATCACAACAAATGAACTTCTTTTTTACTATTTTGCTGCTGGAAAACTGCTATCTCTTTAAATTTCAAGATACCATATCAATAGCTAGTCGTAGTCTTTAGATTATACCAGTTTACTTGCGAAATAGTAAAATGTAACGCCACAAATAACCACAATTTACCAAAGTCAAAGAATCATAGACCTAAGTGACGTTCAACTTGATACCTTCACGTCTTCAACAAAAGGGTCTTGACATGCAGACAATCAGACAACCAAGTGACCATAATTCATTTTTTCCTTTAGGACGAAACCTTAAAAATAGTTATTAATAACGACTGACAAGTGAATTCAGAGTCTCAAAATTACGTCGCTTTCGTATGTTAAATAGCATAATGTTATGTACGTTCTCGTGACCTCTTGTTTAGCAGGACAGTCCCGTCGAGGCACCGCAACGTTTTGTCATGTTAGTGCTAAAATCACTGGCCTTGTAAAGAGGTTAGTGTTACAAAATCATCATTTATTTACTTATTTATACGTGATATAGTTCTTGGTACGTTTATATATGTCCAGTCACATGTCTATGGGTTTATTTCTATATTTTTTGTTTCATGAAATGGAATAGTAAAACTAGTGATAATTTTTAATTTAGTAAGATTGATAGACACAGAAGAAATACCTAAATTCAAACGTATTATACACATCAATAAGTGTTCTTTTATAAGTTTACATGTGATGTTAGTAGTAAATATCTCATAGGTCAAAACGAAACCAAGGAAATTTTATTTTTAAATTTGAAAATGCATTCCCGTTTATCGCCATCTTATCCTTCCCTTTGTTTCCTTCCCTTTATTTGTTTAGGGTCGGCGCAATTCGTTTTTTTCTTCCATTCTCCTCTGTCACTCGTCAGTTTACTACTCACTCTCTTTTTCTGGTCATATCCTTTTTTACGCAGCCCATCCATGTTTTCTTTTCTTACATCCGTCAATTTGCACATATAAATCTACCTTCACTACATTTTGCAATGCATTTTTTCTTTTGCTTTTTAAATGACTTCCAAAGTTGGATAAATTCGATAAATTACAATAAAAAAAGGAAGAGGTTCTCAATTCAAGTGATTTCTTTAACTTCGTCATTTGTGAACCGATTTTGAAAATTGATTGTTAATTTAAGAGTATACTTTCACAATTGAATTAAAAAAAAAAACATTCTTGAGGGTTGAAAATTAAAGATTTATTTCTTAATTTACATACATCATCACCATCATCATCATCACATCAATAGCCTTAATAGTCCATTGCTGGTCATGGGCCTCTCCTTAGAAATGAGGTTTTGGCCACGCTGGCCAGACAGGTGGTATAGGGTTTGTTTTAAGTTTTCCTTCCCTTTGCAGTGTTGTTGTCCTGCGTAGTTGCTCCCTAAGTCGGCTCTTACGACACGCACAGGATGAATGGGCTTAGTGACACTCCATATTCTTAATCCGTAACCTCACGGATTTTACATAAAGTTTATTACAATTCATCACTTTTGTAGACGCATTAAAGTCGGTGATAGGTACTTTAAAAAAACCAAATTATGGCCCAACATACATGCGTAACTTAATAGTTGAACTCTATAAATTTGACACATTTAAATTTAAACACTTCCGAGGCCGGTTATCTACAGTGTATTTGAATTATTTAGTTATTAGAGATTTTGTATGACTTGATCGTAGCGCAGGCGTCGCCATCCACCATGTTACACGCTAAAAGTGAACTACCTCCCTAAACCCATTTAAACTAAAGATCGTGGTTTCTATTCTCACCAGGACAAGTAATTGTATGATGAGTATATTAATTATTTCTGTATCTGGGTTTAATTTATCTATGTTGTATGTTTTGCCAAATATTGTAAGTATAAACGTCTATTAGTAGTCTGTTTATCGTAGTACAGGCTCTGTCTTGTCAGACAGGGGTATGTGAGATGCTTCAAGGTAAAAAGAGTGAAAGTTTCGTAGGCTGGATTTTAAAACTATGAAATTTTTAAACCTGGGTTAAACGCGTTATTGACCTCGAGCGGTCGTAATTCAAGATAGGGCTCTGCCCAATGTAGGTGGTCATTTAAAGAGTAGAAAGACATATTTATGTAGTAAGTGTTAAGTGTTTTACCGGCAAGATATTAGGCCGATCTTGAATGAATGCAGTTACCCGGATAGGCTGACCAATCTCCGGCCGAACATTTTTTCTTTGTATGATTTGCTTTATAGTCAGAAGCTTAGTTATTTTGTGAAAAGCGACGGTAGTGTAATATATAGAAATATACATATTCATTCATTATTCATTCATTCATTCCGTAAGAGGCGACTAAGGAACTAAACTACGCAGGACTACAGCACTGCAGAGAGAAGGAACACTTGAAACAAACCCCATACCAACCCGTCTGGCCAGCGTGGTATAGTAGGCCAAAACCTCCTCTCTAAGAAGAGGCCTATGTTCAGCAGTGGACTAGTAAAGGCTGTTGATGTGATGATGTGTGGTATATATATATATATCATCATCACTATCAACAGCCTTAAATAAACCACGGTGGCCAGACGGGTTGGTATTGGTTTTGCAGTGCTTTTATCCTGCATAGTTTGTCCCCTTAATCGGCTCTTATGACACCCACGATATGAATAGGGGTATACGTATACTTAATCCGTCACCACACGGACACTTTTTTTTTTTAATATTTTAATTTATATAGGTCTACACAGACATATTTAAAGTTGCCATAAAGACTCTACTTCAATCATCCGACAAATATGTTAAGGGCAATGAATATTTCCTTTCGTAGAGATCAAATAATTTAGTAACATATGCCTATTGGGGACGAATCCGTTTTATATATGAAAATAGATCACATCACACATCATCACACATCAACAGCCTTTAATAGTCCACTGCTGGACATAGGCCTCTCCTTAGAAAGGAGGTTTTGGCCTACTATGTCCGTGTAGTGACGGATTAAGAATACGGAATGTCACTACCCCAATTCATCCCGTGGGTGTCGTAAGAGGCGACTAAGGTCGCAAAACAACGCAGGACACCAGCACTGCAAAAAGAAGGAAAATAGATACAAAACACATAACTTTCCACATTATAA